CTTAAGTTTAAAGTAAGAAGATGTATACGTATGTTGATACTGACTACCACTAAAGCTTAATTGGTGTGGTTGAGAATTGAGATCAAAGGTTGAATGACATGGTCAATCGAAAGAGACATACGGATGTTGAATGGAATTAAATAAAGATTAAGAGTAATCATTTTAACTAATAGACTTTGCTTCGATAACACCACTCCACTTGTCTTATCACAAACCTAAATTACTTAATATTATACAAACAAGTGAACCTAATACGTACAAAGTTAAAGCATGTAGTGTTAATTAGAGTAGGTTAATTGATTAATACATGTATACTTGCAGACAAAACAGGTTTATTATTATGTTTCATATAAAGTGGGGGGAGCCCCCTCGAAGGAAGAAGCTAGGTCAAACAGAATGAGTTAATTAATTAATGGGGGTTTATGAGTTTAGGTAGTTAACTAAGAGTACATGACGTTATGATAATATCAATTTAATTATATTTTTTTGAATCTAATTAATTAATTAATTAATTACTAGAATATTATGATGTTGTCTCTTGCAAAAACTATTTAAAAATACTAAGCAACTTGTGTATGCACATGCTTTTTCTGGTTGCATGCGTGTTCCAACACAAGAGAGACAAATCTATTAGGTCATGTGAAAACCATTACAAGTTATTTAAGTTTTTTGGAGAGTCCAAATCATTAAGCTAACAACTCACTACATTTTAGGGTTAATGGTCATCCACCCATAAAAGGTTCATTGGTTTAAAGCGTACTAACTATTTCGTGAAAACTATTATGTATTTTCTTATCAGGAAGAGTTTTGATACTTTTACAGGATGATTGTTGATAATCTCAAAAAGGATTTTTTTTTTTTTTTTTTTATAATACTAGGAGATATTCAATAGTTATCAAGATTTATCGATCTCTTTCGGATGAGTAAAATTAACCGTTCTATTTTGTTTACTTTAATCAAACACTATAGAGAAAAAAGAAAGTGAGATAACACTTTTTGAGTATATAAGAATACTCTTTGAGACACTCCTAATATAGCTCTCCATAATTCCATTGCATGTTCTTTGGGGCTTTAATTATTTGGATTCCTTGGGAACCTTTGGGCTAGCCCATAATGTAGCAAAACCTAAATTTGGGCTTGGCCCATAAGCCCAGAAGGCAAATTTGTGATTAAGCAGCACCTCCATTTGCAATGTCATAGTTAGTGTTGTCTGATGATCAACAGATCAGAGTTAACATGGTCAATGTGATGATCATATACATTCAAAAGCACCACATAGATAAATGAGGGCTCAGAGCTGAAGGAACAAGAAAAGAACGGATCTTATTCAGATAAAATTTCGGCTACAAATATGAATTGGATGCTAATAATGTTACTTTAAAGTGTGATATTGCCTCTTTTATGTCAAGTTCTTTGACGAAGTAATTGAACATCTGGTACATATCCAGATGATTTTAGCAGTTTTGTCAACCCCTTCAAGGTTCTGTATATTTCCTCGGTTTCAGGATGTCTCTCATCTAAGGAATAGAACTCGACCACAGCTTCATTAACCTCAATCGAGCTACACCCCGGTAATTTTTTGAACCCGGTATCTCTCATTGCCACTTTCACTCGTGCAACATCTTTCCATCTCCCCAGGTCCCCATATATGTTTGAAAGCACGACGAAGTTTGCAGGATTCTTCGGTTCGAGTTCTGTGAGTCGTTCGAGCGCCAGTTCAGCTAATTCAACGTTTTTATGAACTCTACATGAACCAAGTAAATTAGCCCAAATAACAGCATCTGCTTCTATAGGCATCTTCCTTATAAAATCAACAGCCTCTGCTAAACGACCTGCTCGTGTCAGCAGATCAACCATGCAACCATAATGCTCAATTTGAGGCACAATTGAATAATCATCAACCATAGAATTGAAATATGATAAGCCATCTTCAACCAAGCCCATATGTGTACAAGTACACAAAATACCGATGAAAGTGATTCCATCAGGTGCTTCTGCAGCATTCTTCATTTGAGAAAACAAATTTAAGGCTTCGACTCCCCGTCCATGCATTGCTAAACCACCAATTATGGTGTTCCAACTGATCAAATCCTTTTTATCCATGCCCTTAAAGACATCAACTGCATTTTCTATAACTCCACATTTTGCATACATGTCAACCAAAGCATTCCCAACATATAAATTTCCCTTATACCCATTACTCTCTGCATACAGATGCACCCACTTGCCCAAATCAAGAGCTCCTAATCTTGCACACGCAGACAACACAGTCACAAGTGTAGCATCATTAGGTAACACGTTGCGCTCATTCAACATCCTTTTGAAAGCATCTAAAACTTCAAAGAAACATCCATTACGCGCATACCCTCCAATCAGTGCATTCCAAGAAAACACATTCTTTTCAGGCATCTCTTCAAACAACCTGTTGCATTCCTCAACATTCCCGTTAATGGCATAACCACTAAGCACCGTGTTCCAAGACATGACATCCTTTTTCGGCATATGATCAAACAGCTTTCTTGCCTCCAACATATCCCCCAACTCAATATACCCTGAAACCATAGTGTTCCACAAAATAACATCCCTCTCGGGCGCCAAATCAAAAAGGCACCTTGCAGAAGCAATATCACCGCAAGAAATGTACCCATTAATCATCGAAGTCCACACAACTACATTCCTCTCAACCATCTCGCCAAACACCTTATAAGCCGCTTTTATCACATTCCCACCAGAATATAACTCAATCAACGTAGTTCCCACATAATGATTTGCTCCAAAACCATTCTTGATAACAAAACAATGCACTTCTTCACCTTCTCTCAACGCACTACTCTTCATACAAGACTTCAAAACAACAGGAAACGTGAAGCAATTAGGCATAACATCCATCTTCTTCATTCGACTAAACAAAACTACAACTTCCCTATGAAGCTCATTCATTGCATACCCTCTAAACTTAGCATTCCATGACGCAATGTTTGCTTCAGGAATTTTATCAAACACCTTGCGCCCATATGTCATTTGCTTCAACTGAGCACATGCCGAGATGATTCTCGGAGTTATAAAGTGGTTGTGTTCTAACCCATGAGTGGTTATCTGGGTTTGGATTTGTTGGAGATGTTTTGAGGTCTTACATGACTGCAATAGCGAAATGAGCTTCTCTTCAACAAGCCTTTGAGGGGGTTTTGTGCAACAAGTTGCAGAAATTTTCGCTATTTTGAATCAATACATTAATTAATGTGACGATTTTATAAACGTAATTACACGAACACTTTCAGATCAGTACCTTAATGTAAGAGTCGCGATTGAACAGAGGGACATTATTTGGTCTTGTTCAATCTTGGAAGTGGCAATGTGTGCCAAGGATGTATGTTCTATGTATGCAATAAGCCTTACAAATACCTAGAAACAAATAATTACCTTTAGTCGGTTGACCAGTTCGTTCGGGACTCTTTTGATGTATTATTCAAGAGGTTTTGAGTTTGAATTCTCATAATTATTAATAAAAGGTAACTATTAAAAGTTTACCTAACTGTTAACTTTATAATCTTGAAAAATAGTCGAACTGTGTGGAAGCGTATGGCTCAACTACCTTTCCTCGTGGCAATTTCAAAGGTTTATATTATAAAGCTATCTACTAAATAATCTTGCTTAATTACAATTAAAAGGGTATTATTAAATAAAAGCAACATTATTTAAGGATTTTATTCATAGATCTACTAAACCAACTTGCTTAATTACAATTAATTAATGAGGGAATCACTTAATTAACCCATCATCTTTTGATTTCTTTCAATTTTTTTATTATTTTATATTTGCCCACCAACCTTAACCTCAATTGCATACAACAACATAAAAGAATATGAAAGGGACACATGACCCAACAAAACTGAATTTAGTATCTACCACATTTGTTTTAGTATAACCCTCTTTTTCAGCTCATTTCCGAACAAAGAGGTAATCCACCACGTGGGCCATGTGCATTTTTCAAGGATAAATACATCTACACCTCCTTACTATTGAAAACCAACATTAAGATCCCATCACTTTAAAATCACACACTTCATTCCCCAGCCAACTTCGATGTGTAGAGTGGGATTTGGTTTGAGTGTAGGGAGGTAATTGTGTATTTTTAAAATTAATGGGGGGAAATAGTAATACGGGGGTGTAATTTTATAAGTCCGACTTTTTAATAGTGCATGCATCAACACATGCTGTTGATCCGACTAGTATCTTTCTGTACTTGTTGAAAACATGGAATTGTCTCTGACCCTTAGATTCCGGCCACCAGAGCTCACTTTCTTCAACCGTAACCAACGTTATCTCTTCACCAGTCCATTAAAACGTCAACTACCCACCGTGGCTCCACTCAAGTACAACCTGAAACGCACAGTTTTCGTCATCACAGCCAAGATTAATACTGAAAAGGCAGTTCACATTGAAGGCGTCAGTGAAGAGTTGAATTTAATTGCTTCTCAGAATCTTGATTTTGCTAGTCAAACATCTGATCATGCTTGCAAGGTTGTTTTTAATTTTTTGTTTTTGGTCATGATCACATTTGTCAAAGCTTGATTTGTGGAATTTGCGTTTGACTGACTTTTTTTTTTTTTGTCAAAGAAAGAATTTTCCTTCGAGCCTGACAGAAAAAAAGAATTTTTTTTTTGAAAAACTGTTAAAACCAATAAGGATATATATCTTGTTTACCAAGGCGGGGCTCCTTTTTTTTTTTTTTTTTTTTTTTACTTATTTGCTTATCTATTACCTGTTTGTTTCCCGAGAAGATGGAGGAAAAGAAAGGAAAGTGTAAAGTTGGAATCTTATAATTCTTTAATAAGCTTTTAATTTGGTAGTTGTCCTACATATTAAAAGAAAAGATTTTTGGGATAAATGATTGGCAAAGCAACAAATATTTACATTTTTCTATGCCATGATTCAATCGATTTCCTTGTCTTTTTGCTAAAATTTTTTATGTCAAATCTTGTTTTTAAGATTTGCCTTCAATCACAAGTTGGTTTGATCCCTTGTGTATTATTTGAAAAGACAAATGGAAGTTGACTTTGAAAGGTTCTTAGTACTTGAATGTGACAATTGGTCCTGTAGTGGTATGAGAAGAATTCAAAGGGACTGGAGATTTTCTGTAAAAGCTGGATGCCAAAACCAGGTGTTCGGATCAAAGGAGCTTTGTTTTTTTGCCATGGTTATGGTGATACATGCACTTTCTTCTTTGAAGGTTTGCTGATTCGTCTAGTAATACAATATCTTAACTTGTATTATATGTTCATTCTTGTAATTAAGCCATACTGTTAATGCAAATTGGTAATTCAGGTGTTGCTAGGTACATTGCTGCAGCTGGATATGGTGTTTATGCTTTGGACCATCCTGGTTTTGGTCTGTCCGAAGGATTGCATGGTTATGTCCCAAGCTTCGATGCATTAGTTGACAACGTTATTAAAATTTATACAAAAATCAAAGGTTTGATATCAGTGAATCTTGCCTCATTCTGTAATGTTGATTATCAGGATTGATTAGTTTAAGGAACAGCGTTTGCTGATTTTTCTTTTGTATTATGATTGGCAGGACGACCTGAAGTGAGAAGGTTACCTCACTTCATATTGGGACAGTCCATGGGTGGAGCTGTTACTCTCAAAGTTCATCTAAGGGAACCACGAGAGTGGGATGGAGTAATTCTTGTAGCTCCAATGTGTAAAGTAAGCCCACAGTTGTCCCCTATGACAGAAATCTTTTGATTTTTTTATTTTTATTTTCTTAACTGAATGCAAGGTTCAAAAGCCTTTGTTTGTTCAGAGACTCTTTGTTGTTTGCGGTGAGGTGGAAAGCTTGATATTAAAGTTGAACTGAGAAAATTAATTGCAGATACAGATGGGCTTAGTCAGAGGGAAGTGTGGGAAAATGAAATACAGAACTAGGTTGCAGGTTCTGCAATATGTATTCCTTAATCAATGCCAGGGGGCATGTAGTTAATTAGGCATATGAGGAGCCTTTCTTTGAGCAGTCTGTACTCTGGAAATTCCAGATTTTAACAGTCTGGTTGCCAGGTGAAATATTTCTTCAAAGATTAAGTGCTAGTGCTACAATCTTCCACTCTGGTATGGTAGAACAGTTAATACCGGCATACCTTCGAAGGCTGGGAAACTTGTCTCATACTGATCTATACTCTTGCTACCAAATTAGGACCTTCAAATCAGTAAATATAGAGCATTAGAAATCTCTTTGATATGTTGTCGAGGAATTATAAAGGTCCACTTCTGCATATTGAGAGAAGAAAGATGGTGAAGTTTTAGAGCTTTAATGGCTTCCATGGCTGTACCAGATTCCGTGGCTGTACACTTATTTTCAGCTATCTAAAAATGTGTGATTCCTGGCTGTCCATCTTAAGCAGATGAGTTTCTTGACAATGCAAGATACTCATCTGATTGAGTTCCACATGCTGAATTGTAGTAATGTGCTGCGATAACTAAGTGAACATTCTAGGATAAGCTATCCGGTTGATATGTTTGAATTAGTAAAACAAGGGCTAAAACAAGTCCTCAGAAAGCACATGGAAGCATGGAACAAACTATTGGATGCTGTCTAGGAGATACGGTATTTGACTTAGTGTTTGGCACTCTGATCCTGGGAAGTTAACATTGCATAAATTGATATCATCTTGTGCGGATTAGAAAAAACTCTCTGTGCAAGGCTGCGCTTTATATGAGTGCATGAACAAACACATAATTTTGTTAGCCTGAAAATTGATAACTATCATGCAAACTATAGTTCAACGGTGTGAAGGGTGGTAGGGGCATAGTATTCTTTAGTTCACATACTATAGATTACTCTCATTCTTTTCTTCTACGCTTTTCCTAAACTTTGGTATTGATATGTATCGGCCATAACATTTTCATCACATTATATCTTCTGAAGAACTGTGATCGAGTTCTTGTAATAGACGCTAAGATAAATCTTGATTTCTGTTGCTTGTTTAGATTAATCATTTACCAGAGAAAGTCGCATGATTAGATTTTGTGTCCAAAACAATGTACTCTGTTCTTTAACTAATGACAAGTTTGCTAACTTAAAGTTTCCGGTAAGATTGCAGAAGATGTGGTTCCTCCCGCAGCAGTTTTGAAGGTATTCACTCTTTTGTCAAAAGTTATGCCAAAAGCAAAGCTCTTCCCACATCAAGATCTATCTGAGTTAGCCATCAGAGACCCCAGAAAAAGAAAAATGGTATGTTCTCCTTTCATCATTCAACATGAATGTTCTTTTACACTTACATAATTGGAAAGAGTGTTAGTGCTAGGTTCAATATTTCACATGAACATTCAAATGATTTGCCCGCATCTAGAAAGGATAAAATTTAACAATTGAATTTCTAACTTGGGAACAACACACCTGAATCTTATTGTTATCTTATCTGCTTTTCTGTGTAATCTTTAGAATCTTTCATAAATCATGTTTGTTTGGTCTTTCTGTCTTAGGCCGTCTACAATGTGATTGGTTACAATGACCAAACACGACTGAAAACTGGTTTGGAACTTCTAAAAGCAACTAATGAAATTGAGAAGCGATTGGACGAGGTTAGTTTTCTATCGCCCTATCCAATGTGCCCTTATTTCTTATTGCATAAGAGTTGGAAATCAATTTAGATGTATTGCAGGTTTCATCTCCATTGCTGATTCTTCATGGATTAGCCGATAAAGTGACAGATCCTTCAGTGAGCCAGTTTCTTTACAAGAAAGCTTCCAGCATGGACAAAACTCTCAAGCTCTATGAAGAAGGTTATCACTGCATTTTAGAAGGAGAGCCTGATGACAGAATACATACAGTCCTCGGTGACATTATTTCATGGCTTGACGCCCGGTGCTAAGTAAAGTTCATTCTAAAATTTCTGAGTAGAAGACTAGTAGCTTCTTCCTTCCTTTGCCTTCTCGTCCGTCACCATTGCTTCTCATCTCAAGCCTCAAATGTCAAATTTTTAGTTCAATGCGGAAGAGATTGGTGAAATCCAATTAATAAAGTTTGGGGCATTGTGTTTTTGGTTTTGAGTTTTGACCTCGCTTTTCCACTGGTAGTTCACCTTCTAAACTTATAATGTCGGTCGCTATTGAGGTTTTAAGGCCATGTTTGGTTGTTCTTTTAAAGACTATGGTTTTTTTTTTTTTTTTTTATTTTGTTTTAATGAACTTTTTGCTATTTTTATTTAATTTTAAAAGACAAAAAAGTTTAGATAAAGATTAGTAGACAATTTTTTTTTTTTAACCTAAGTGTCCGGATAACTTATGTGTACTTCAACTAATTATTGAAGAAGACTAGCGTAGCAATCTATTGTCATGACTCTCCACTTAAATCGTGGATACTCAAATGAGAAATCGAACTTAAGATCAAGTGTCGATCCATATTATCTTCAATTCGTCATAACCGTCTAGACTACCACAAATGGTACAATTGGTTATTATCTTCTAACACTTAAAAAAAAAAAAAAAGAGAGACAAAAATTAAGACAAATATTTTACTTTAAAACTGCAAAAAAATATATTTTTTTACTAATTATGTATTCTATTAAAAAAATGTGATACATATTTATTATATGAAAATGAGATACTGCAAAAATCCCTGATAAAAAATATAATATTCAATTTTTATTTTTCAAAACACATTATTATTATTATTAATTTTTTTTTTTTTTTTTTTGGCCTCCATCGAAGAAAAAGGGAATAAAAGAGAGAGAAAAAACCGTTTTAAGAGAAAAGGTGCGAAGCCAAACAATGCCTTAACCGAAGTCCAAAACTTTGCGAGATTAATGTAACGAAACGAGAAATCAAAATCCAAGATCCTTTTCAAAACAAAACACGAAAATCAATAACTGGGTTGACTTTAAAAATCAAAACTTGATCTTCTCTTCCTTTAAGCTTCGATGTCCCTCTTGAACCAACTTTTCAACAGAGGCGTTTTTGGTGCGAAATGGTATACTTCCATCAATTTCTTTCAGCTTAACATGTTGATTAGTTTTATTCTTTGTTTATAGTTTTGGAAATTTTCCCTCTGTCAAAGTTGCATGTTTTTTATGAGAAAGTCCTGACTTTTATAGATTCTTCTGTGTAATTGTGAATTATATTCAATTTAATGCATTGTATGCTTGGGAATTTGGCAATTGAATTGTAGCTTGTGAATTTGCATTGAATTTTTGTGTGTGGGTTTGAAATTTGAATCTGTAAGTTATGATGATGGTTGGTTTTGTAGCAAAACATGCTTAACATTGGCGATTTCGCGCATAAAATTGCTGCAAAACAAGAGAGAGATGCAGCTCAAACAGATGCGCAAAGAGATAGCTCAGTTTTTGCAGGCTGGCCAAGAAGCAATTGCTCGAATTCGGGTAGTGATTTAAATTTATGATTGTTTGTCAGTGATTGGTGAAGTTTTTTGTTCAATTGCCTTTGACTAGATGTTATGTTATGATGTTAGGTGGAGCATGTAATTCGAGAGCAAAACATATCTACCGCATATGCGGTGTTGGAGCTGTTCTGTGAGTTTGTTCTTGCACGTGTTCCCATTCTTGAAAATCAAAAGTAAGTTCAAAAAGGATTTATCTCATGTTAACTAGTGATCCCCCAATGCAAAGCTTTTGTTCTTTTCATGAGGCTTATTATCAGTGTCATATAGCATAAAGTCTTAACTGAATTGGTATTCAGTGAAGCTTGACACGTTTAGTTTTAGATAGTTGAGTATCAAATGGATGACTAAGATTTAACTAGTGGTGCAGAGGACCATCTGTTTTCAGAGGTAGTGAAACCTAAAGAGGTGAAATTATAGCTGGTATCTTATTGAATTTTGTCAAAGATTCCTTAAATATCTTCTCTTTGATTATGTTTACTCCAATTGTATTCCAGCTCCTATTTTAACCCAAATTCATAATTTAGTTAATTTTCTCAATATCCTAGTTGTTTACTTAACCTACCCCATAATCCTTAATTTTCTGTTGTATTCTGCCGATATCAACATCCTGCAATCAGTTCTCGTGTTCTATATTACATCTTAGTTTTAGGACTAGAGCTAGTGTCACAGACTCCAAGCTTATCTTCCACATACTATTTGTTATCCTCCAATGGATGACGTTTGTTTGTTTATTATCTCCTACATCTGCTGAAATGAAACCTAAAACATGTGATGTCAGTATAAGATCATTATCAACATCTCTAATACCAGATTAAGAAAGGCAAGAGGCTTGTAAGAGCTAGACAATAAAGGGAATGCGAAAAGAGGCAGGTATAAAGAACTTTTTTGTAAAAAAAAAAAAAAAAAAAAAAAAGAAATTAATGTTCTGGAGAAAGATTGCTAAATGTTTCTTTTTGCTATGGAGATCAAAGGTAGTTGAGTTTGAGATGGATCAGGTTAACACTTTTAAGAAAATCTATAATGAAAATTTGGCAGCATACATTTGAAATGATATTTTGTTTGTCAATCATCTGATGGAAGCCATGGTGGGTGAATAGAAACAGCATTTAACTATAGTTTTCCTAACAGTTGAAACAATCCATAATGTGCACAATTTAGTGCTATGATGTTGTGTTTTAGTGTGCTTCTCAATTGTGAGACTTTTACTATTTGAATATCATGTTTTCTTTGGCCAATAGGTTTTTGGGAAATCATTGATAACATTTTATGTGAGACCTGTAAACCTAATTCTGTTACATTGAGTGCAATTTTCTGACCTTCTTTTTCACATAATAGGGATTGTCCGACTGAATTGCGAGAAGCTATTGCAAGCATAATTTTTGCTGCTCCTAGATGTTCGGATTTGCCAGATTTGTTGCAGGTCACAAACTTGTTTTCTTCAAAATACGGGAAGGAGTATGTTGCAGCTGTTGCTGAGCTTCGTCCAGATACTAGCGTCAATCGTACAGTTAATTAGCTTTAGTACTTCAATTGCAAGTGTGATGTTTCTGCTGGAGCAGCCACTGTAACTCACATGCTAATATTTCTTTTCGTACTTTTTCTTTTTTCTTTTTTGTAATTTTATGCAGATAATTGAGAAACTTTCAGTTAGTGCTCCATCACCTGAGGCAAGGCTCAATGTGTTGAAGGAAATTGCGCAGGAGTACAATGTGGTTTGGGATTCTTCTCAATCTGAAGCGGCACTCAGTAAAAAGCATGAAGATTTATTGGTATCTTATCAAATTTATGTTTCATATATCATTTCTTTTGGAGTCGCCTAGTGTTGTCTTTAGACATTATTTTTTGCTTCATGCTGGGACACTCTTTGATATTATAGCTCTTCTTGCTACTGTTAGAAAACAATTGTTTTGTTACTAGAAAAATATATTCCAAAAAGTGGACCCTGTGGCCTGTGTAATGAGTTTGCATGCAAAGTAACTGACAGGATTCCTCTAGGTTAGCTTGAAAAAATTAAACCTTGTAGATAGAGATGAATGAGCATCAAAGAAGAATTAACCAGAAACATTCACTGGGGAATATTACAACTTCATCTCAGCGATGGATAAGAGAGATTAACATAGATGGGGCATAGACCAGCCAAGCAAAAGCAGAGCATTCAAAGTCAAATTGATGATTAGCACACCGCATAATAAGATTGAGCTATGGATGAACATCTCACTAGAAAATTGAGACACTGAGTGATAGATAAGTAGGAGGATGGATTGATTAAGAACAGAAATTTAGAGAGATAGATAGCAATAGATAGAATTAGAAAGAGATAGATAGAGATAGATAGATAGAATTAGAAAGAATAGATTAGGGAGAATAGAAAGAAAGGGGAGAAACTAGAAGAACTGAGTGAGAGAAGAAAGAACGATAGGGGGGAGAACCAAGATATTATTCAATCAAATAATCAAGCATAAACAGTAATGACAAACAAGCCTTTATTTATAGGCTTAAAAATTAAATCCTAACCAAAATACAATTCTAAAAATCCTAATTCTGCTAACACAATGAAATATAAATATCCTAATCCTAATAAAGCAATGAAATAAGAGACTAAATAAACTAAAACCCTAAATCCTAAAAACAATCCTATTTCTCCTACATCACTGAACTTTTCACAAGGCTAAGTTGCTTGGTGATTCTTGAGCCAAGTAGTATAAGCTTGCCTAGAAAGTTAAGAAGCTCCAAAAATATGTTTATTTGGGCCCACATTCTCATGAACCGTCAAGCCTTTTGACCTTGCCAATATAGAATCAAGTGTTAGAAAGTTAGTAGTTTTGCTTATTAGCCAAATATAGCCCTAATCCATTAGAAGTGGTCAGTTTTTTACTCTAAGAAAAACCAGTCACAATGCTGTTGAGAGTAACTACTGAATTAAACAAGCAATTGTTAGTTACTTCCACATTTTTGCATGCTTAGGTCTTATAAAATGAGAAAATTTCAATTGTTGCATGTTTAGGATCTTGTAATAGCCTTTTAACTATTGGAGTGATTTATGTCCTCTTGATGTTAATATATTTTGCAGGGTGGGTCAACGGAAATATATGGTGGAGCTTCAACTCCTGAAGCTTCTGTTAAGCAGAGCTCTCCAAGATCTTCATCTTCTAATGGGGCACGTCCTATTCTGCCTTCGGAGAGTAGACTGGGATCTCAACACCTTCAAGTTCCCAGCCCACCAAGCATTATGCCCGTTCTGAGGTCTAATGAGATTGAACAATCAGCTAAAAGTAGCAATGCGGTTCCAGTTAGTGATACTAAAAGGGAGACAACATCACAATCATCCGATGTATTGGAAAGAGCTCGAGCTGCTATTGCCTCTGCAGAACGAGCATCTGCAGCTGCCCGTGCAGCTGCTCAGCTTGTGAATGCTGAATTTGGTTCGTTGAAACTAGAAGGGAAGTCATCGTAGCACCCACATTATTGACCTGTTACAATCTCATATCTTGATGATTTTACTTCACTAGCCTCCCCTTTTCCAGGGATAGCTGGGAAAGATAAAGAGAGTGCTGGAAGAGAGAAAACAACATTAGTCAAGCTAAAACACTTACTGTGTTATTTGAGACAGTTGGAAGAGTGCTTAATTTGTTACTAAGATATCTAATCACCTACTATTGTATTTCCTTGTCGATAAAGGTTTGAGTAAATTTCTTTTACGGTTTGTTTCTAAAAGTTGTGATTAATGGAATAAAATGTGTACTATTTACTATCTGTCACTGACAAATCTGATGAGCTCTCTAGTTACTTAATACTCTGTACGTAATTGCCTGCTAGAAGTAACAAGTTACAGCAAAAGCAGAAGAATCATATTCTTTTCCCTCTTTTCTTATCTGACTAGAGTTTATATTTGAACGCTCAAAGAAGTCAGCCACATGGTGATTTTATGCTCTGAATAGTCAAGTCTGAAGGGTCAAAGAGGCGGATATATATAGAACTAGAAGAATAGTACTTCAAGTATGAGGATTGTATTAACTCATTATAATGATCATGGTTCACTCTTTGGAGCCCTTTCAAATCTCAATAACTATGAACGAATTCCTTCCCAAGCATAAGGTTAATTTTATCATTGGATGACCATAATAACACTAACTGTTACCAGCAAGCTGGTGGCATATAAAATTTAGATTATGAGGAGAATATCCTTATTCAAGAAATGTAAAGATAAGAATCTTTGAGAATCTCATTTTTATTCTTCATTTTATTCCAAGAAAAACAAAATTGCAGAACTGAAAATGCGTCCACCAGTGTAACATGAAGTGGCATACCAGGACTGGCAAAGTGACAAGCAGAGAAGAGAAGGGAGAGAGTGAGACGCTAACTGGACAAGAAGCACCACCTGCATAATAAAGTTTGATATCTGAACATAAAAATCCAAATCATTCTTGTTTCCATTACAAAACAACCCGACCTATATACATGCGTTCTATAGACCACACAGCCTCAGCTCTCTCTAGGTTACATTCACGAATCCCCTAGGATTTTACACAAAACTTAACAAAGAGACAAATATGTATTACCTAATACATCCATATATGCACATATATACAAATTCTTAAATACAAACACATGCTGCTTCAATATATGCATTAGAGAATGACAGAACAGAAGAGATCATATTCAAATTCTTAAATGCAAACATATGTATTAGAGAATGATTATGTATGTATTAAAGAAGAGATTAGGAAACAAATCTATATACAAGAGGGTGACTAACTTATCCCATAAAGTCTCACTGTTATCTCACATTTCCCCTCAAAAATACGATTACTTCTTTTTCGTCGTATAATACATATTTTCTGTGTATATATATTACAATTAAAAACACGAATTTCAACAAGGATCCGTCTCATGCAACTCAACCCCACGTCTGATACAAAAAAAACATAGAGCCCTCTTGCATGAAACTACAGCAAACACTTGTGAAAGACTCCATGGTCGTAACTCGTACACATATTCACTGCAAGCAAGAGAGAGTGAAAGAGATGTATCCTAAGTTACCATCATCACCATTAATCAACTGAGCCTGAACCTGAGGACAGGATAAAAAAAAAAATGATCCAGTGTGGATGATTGTATTGTATTAGAGAGTAGACTATATATCGCGTGGTCTGCAAACTGAGAAGGCACATTGATTTTGTTGAAGTGAAGGGTCGTTTTCGTCTTGAATTTCGTTTTAACACAGAGATGTTTCCATTGGTCGGTTTAAGATTCACCGTTTAATTTTCTCATTAAATTTATTATTCTTTGAAATATGTTCTTATCTTATTCTGTCTTTGATTAGAGCATGCCTTACCGACTTTCAGCTTTTGTTTTGTTTGCTTCTTTTTATCTCTTCTTTAATGAAATATGAGTATTCATTGTGCGCTAAAGCTAGGCAATTATCATAGCCACAATTAGGGTTCTTACACTAATATATATATATATTTCCATCAAACTATTAAGCAGAAATCAAATGGACAGTTGATCTTACCGCTAAAATCAAATGGAGAAATAAATATACATGGGGCCGAAGATGTAAATATATACAATATAGGCTGTGAAATCTATGTAGAGTACTAGATTACAAATCTGAGTAGCTGGATCAGCTAAAGAAAAATGGATTGCAAGATATGTCTATTCACTTTCTAACTAGCTATATATAGCCATGTCGCATAATGATGTAGCAACCTCCTCCTTTGGTTCTGTTTAGTAACATTGTTGAAAGTATTCATTTCATTGATTTTCATTAATGTCACATTTTGTGATCACAGATGAGCCTTCTATTCCTTGAACAAAACATTTACTTCACAAGAGATCATATCATTAATCCAACATCATCAAGTCTACTTGTAAACACAAACTCCATGGTCAGCGACGCTCAGCTGCATCAATGTATGTTGAGTAGTCTAACGACATTCATTTCCGTCGAGATAGATGTCGCCAGAAAAGCGCAACATTCGTGTGGTTAACTAGCCTAACGCAAAAAGGTTTAGCAAAATAAATGAAGTGTGATGTTTATTTNAAAAAAAAAATGATCCAGTGTGGATGATTGTATTGTATTAGAGAGTAGACTATATATCGCGTGGTCTGCAAACTGAGAAGGCACATTGATTTTGTTGAAGTGAAGGGTCGTTTTCGTCTTGAATTTCGTTTTAACACAGAGATGTTTCCATTGGTCGGTTCAAGATTCACCGTTTAATTTTCTCATTAAATTTATTATTCTTTGAAATATGTTCTTATCTTATTCTGTCTTTGATTAGAGCATGCCTTACCGACTTTCAGCTTTTGTTTTGTTTGCTTCTTTTTATCTCTTCTTTAATGAAATATGATTGTTCATTGTGTGCTAAAGCTAGGCAATTATCATAGCCACAATTAGGGTTCTTACACTAATATATATATATATTTCCATCAAACTATTAAGCAGAAATCAAATGGACAGTTGATCTTACCGCTAAAATCAAATGGAGAAATAAATATACATGGGGCCGAAGATGTAAATATATACAATATAGGCTGTGAAATCTATGTAGAGTACTAGATTACAAATCTGAGTAGCTGGATCAGCTAAAGAAAAATGGATTGCAAGATATGTCTATTCACTTTCTAACTAGCTATATATAGCCATGTCGCATAATGATGTAGCAACCTCCTCCTTTGGTTCTGTTTAGTAACATTTTTGAAAGTATTCATTTCATTGATTTTCATTAATGTCACATTTTGTGATGACAGATGAGCCTTCTATTCCTTGAACAAAACATTTACTTCACAAGAGATCATATCATTAATCCAACATCATCAAGTCTACTTGTAAACACAAACTCCATGGTCAGCGACGCTCAGCTGCATCAATGTATGTTGAGTAGTCTAACGACATTCATTTCCGTCGAGATAGATGTCGCCAGAAAAGCGCAATATTCGTGTGGTTAACTAGAAAAGGTTTAGCAAAATAAATGAAGTGTGATGTTTAATTAACCTAGTATATCTTCAAAGCCAACGATTTATGTTGCTTAATTATCTCTAGGTGGTTTGACGGTTTGTTTGAAACTCTTAAATGTATTATTTAAAAGGCCATGAGTTCAGATCTCTATGATTATTAATAAAGGGTAACCACTTGAGGTTTATCTGGCTATTAACTCCACGATTTCAAAAAATTAATTAAGGTACATGTAAATTGGTTCGAGCAACACCCAAAAAAAAAAGATGCATGTTGATAAGTTTGAGAGTATTGATAAAATTGGGGGTTTCAATTATTTTGATCGAAGAGAGAAAGAGGGAGATTAATTAATTAGAAAAACATAAAAAACTTAAGTGTGATATAATTAAGACACAAGAACTGAGCTAAGTAGGAATTAAGTTAGTGATAGAAAAAGGATATAATTATCAGATTCTGAAAGGAAAAGACAAAGACTATAAGGTTATTTTAGAAGATTACAAAGGAAATGAATGAATAAAATAAAGCTCATTGCCTGCAGCTTTAAACATTCCCTCGCTTGTTATTGCATGAATAAGCAGCTCGCTCAGCCTATAGCCGTCTAGCTACTTTGCTCCATTATTTTCAATTCAATTCAATTGTGCTCTCTCATATTTCAGTATTTTGACAGTTAGCTGCAACTTTTTTTGTGTACTTTCTGCCCTATATCTATCTAAATTATCACCTATATATACACCTGCACTCTCTCTCCCTCTGTGTATATTATATATATATACAATAATTAATAATAATAATCAACTTCAATTCTTCTTCTTCTTTCTCTCTCTCCTTATCACTGGCGCGATCCCGAGATATATTCGAGAAAGGTACGGAACTGTAGGTTGGCAAAGATCCTCTGTGTGAGAGAGATAGAGCTACAGTTGTTAATCAGTTGTTGTTCTTTCTATACCTCTCTTTGTTGTGACAGCAGATACTGCCCGGCCCCCCGCTTCAATATTTCAAAATACGATTTACATTATATAATTATATATATATACATAAGCTAAAGCTAGAGGTCGGTGTTTGAGTTCGCTTTAAAAACCGTAGTGTTCTGATGTGCCATTTTGCGAAATCCTTCAGTGTACTACGGTATCTAAATGTAAGTCATTAAAATATCTCATTGGGAATTGCTCAACTAAGCTCACTGCTCACATCAAGTAATAATAAACCAAACTTCATATATTATACAATTAACTAATTTAATAAGAGAGAATTGAAGAATGTGAAAGTGTTTCTTTTTTGGTGCAGGTCCGTTTTCAGATGGGCAATCCATATTAGGTTAAGAAAATAGCATGAAGAGGGGCCTGAGTTTTGGTTGACATGCAGACCAAACAAGTGGTGGACCCTTAACCACACCACCTTAACCTATTGCTTGGCAGCTTCGAGAGCTAGGGTTTGGTTAGATTTATATATTACTTTCAATTTTTTATTTGATTTAATTGTATACATAGCTACCTGAACATTCATCATAGAATTGATGATGATCAATTTGCCTATCAGAGAGGCTCCTTTGCTGTAAAATCTTTCACCAATCCTAGTGTTTGATAACAGTGTCATAATTTTTTTTTTCTTCATGGAATTGTCTCGGAAAGTTATCTTTGTTTTTCAATTGATTAAAATCCTGCTTTCTCTTAACTAGTAGCTAGCTTTAGAAATAAAAAATTGTGATATAGATGTTTATATTAAAAAATCAATGTGATTAGCTAAAATTGACAAGAATAATAATAATTACTTCTCAAAAGATGGATTGGTTTGTCAAAATTTCCATATGAAAATTTGATAGTTTTAATCAAGTTACTTTTATATAAAGACACAAAGAGTTAGAATCAATGCAAGGATCCATAAGGAACACACATCAATTGATAAAATGAAATAATGTTGGAATTGGCACCACTTCAACAATAAGGGATTCGCTTATAAGGGACGACCCACATAGGGGTAACACCTCTCGAAACCATAAGAGTTAATATCATGTATAGCCGTTGTAAGATTCTCTAAGGAATAGGACTTCTAATAGTGTTTGACTTAGGAATACGAATCATAATAGTTTTAGGTTTATCTTCATAAACTTAGTATATAAATACATTATTCTCTTGTATGAGTGATATAGAAAATATAGCAAATACATAATTCCTTGTAACGAAAGAGGTGAGAAATTATTTCAATAATATTAACTCTGTTGAACATAACCCGATTTTGGGTAAATCAGAATAAATCGCGCGTGCTTCTTTCTCTTTACTTGTTACGTTATTTGTGTGATAGTTCATTTTCTTTGATTCCAAATGCTCTTTAGTTATTTCAAATATTACATAGGAAGACAAATATAAAATATTTTATATATTTTCATGTGTAACATTAGTCATAATTATAAGTGAGAATTAACAATCACATGAATGAGATATATAATATATAGCATGGTTGTTATGTAATTAAAGAACATTATCCAACACCAAACACACTCATAATCAAGCAAGAACAGAAAGAACACGGCGATTTACTATGATTCACTTATCCTTTATCGGATAAACTACATTCACATTGAGCTCCGAAAAGGGAGGAGCTCACTGCACTAATTATTAACCCAAGAATCATAGTTACAAACTCACAATGAATCAACCTAAAGAACAACCATTGATACAAGATATCCTATAACCGGCCCTTAGAGAATCTCGCTAGGACACTCTAAACCGAGAGAACTAACCCTTCCAAGAATGATTACAACCCTAACCACTCAAGTCTACCCGATTACAACAATCTTTATCAAGACTTTCCCACAAACCCTAGATGAGTATTATGTCGCTCAATCGAATGAAGGAGAAGCAAAAATGTGTTCTTCGAATTTGGGGAAAATTGAGTTTATATACCGTTGACCTGGAGGCTGAATGATGGCCGTTGGATCATATGAAGATTGATGGTCAGGATTCACACAACATTTCTTTGAAACTACATCTTCCAACTTAACCCAATACTACACCGTTTTCAAGCTTCCACTTCAACAATGGTTGTACTTCTAACTTTCGAATTCCCAATAATATTAACTTTTATATTTCTATAATCTATACACATATTTCTATCATAATGTAAAAAATTTCGTGAAGCATTTATGGAATTTTGTTATTCATAAAATATGTTTGTGTTTTATATATATATATATATATATATATATATATATAGCAGCTCTTGTTTATTATTAATTTTCATGCTTAACAAAAAGGCTATAAGGTTATTAGTCCTAACATGCGCTCCAGAGAGGGCGGCCGACCCTATTGTTTTTCTCTCAGTCTGACAAGCTAAGACATTGATCAAAGCTTTTTATTTTTGTTTATTTTTTTCTCCACTGCTTCTTGAAGTTTGATTCAAAACTATAATATATATGTAATTAATATTTATTGATTTCAACAAGGAAATTCACAAATTTGTTTTAAAGTATCTACTTAAAGTAATTCATAGATCATTACAAGTAATTATAAATATGGGGCTATGACAGTATTAATTAGACTTGAGCAGACAGACTGCAGTCAGAGATTTTGATCCCCTGATGAGGTGAGTTTAATTAATTAAATAGAGAGTTTTAGATGGCGATGGAGCACAATTGCCGGTTGATGAATGTAGTTGACTCATTGACCATTCCTCTTCTGCCAACAACAATTAATTTTTGAATTGTGACAATGACATCAGTTTATGGTATCTTCTTCTCGATTACGGAATCAGGTGACATACTTTTAATAAAATGATGCGATCTCATACTGTGATTCATAAAAGAACCCACATGACGTGAGTTATCACTGTCTTTTTGACCTTTCACATTGTCAATATCTGAGTTTTCTTCCCCACATATTTATGTATGTAAGCACAAACTTATCGTATAATGCAAACTTAAAGTCTGATTTTAAGTATAAAACTTGTACAGGTCCTACAGGATACAGAACAGGATCAAATGAAATTGTGAAATCAATAAACAGTCGCTATATATGCGACGCTGCCGTTTTCCATGTTTTTGAGTACTAGCTTCATTGAAGAAGAGATCAAAAGAAACATTGTATACCGATGCTATTAATTTCGTGTGTAGGTGAAAGCCTCGTCAGAACAGTATTCTTCCGGTGATAGTTGTGATAAGAGTTCATAGGGCAATGGAAAAAAACATATTGTATTGTTGTAAAACTAGTTATAATGATGATAAAATCAATAAATGAAATTAGGGAATTGAAGAAAAAAGATAGAACCAGTGCTTTAACAGACTTTACTTGCCAGATTTGATTGATTCTGGTCAGAAAACTTTCAGCAAAACAGTGTTTAATGGAACTGCAGAGACTTCTCTCTTGGTAATTGCCCGTATTGTGCAAGCATGCTGTAACCATAAATGTTTTAAAAAACTAGAAGATTCCAATTTTGGATTTGGAATGAAAAAGGAGAGAGAGAGAGATGGAACCAAACTGATCTCATCATCAATCACTCACTGCTCTAGTCAAAGATGTTTATAAAGGCAGAAACTGAAACACTAAAAACACAACAACCCCAAATAAATAAACCCAAAAACAAAGACGAATTATGTAATATATAATATAATGTAAAACAAAGTGAAAATGAAAAAAATATTCAACAAACCCTATTGCCATGCAAATGCAAAAAGATGGTTAGGAACTTTCAGTTCATATCTAACTTCTTGTCCCACATATCCAAAGCTCTAGTCCCCATTTTTAACAGATGGTTATAGTACAACAATCCCCTAAGCTCAAAACCAAACTAGCTGAGCGTGTACATGATCTCAAAAAGCTGCCCCCAAAACCCCATCTTCTGTACATAAACCAAAAACTCCTCTTTCTTTCCTTCCTTGCATGACCCCATTTGTCAGTTTGTTATGTCTCTCTCTCTCTCTCTCTCTCTCTCTCTCTCTCTCTCTCTCTCTGTGGGTGCCGTGTTAAACCACATAAATTTCTTTCAACAGTACTTACTTCATTCATTTATTCAATCCTACTTAAACCTTACTTAAACATTAATATCACTTTAATGTAATGTAATTAGCTAGAAAGGAGGATCCAAACGTGGCTGTATGTGTGTCCCTCCTCCTGCTGCATAGCTCCTTCCCCAATTCAATCCCTCCTCCTGATTGCTCAGTGACCCGTCTCTCCCTCCTGACGATCCTCCGCTTAAATCATTGCCACCACCACGGCTTGAACCGGCGATGAACCCGTGCCCGACTGGCGCGCCAATGCATGTGTAGTTTGACTCACCCGGTGCGCCCATGTAATTTAGGTTTTGGTGAGGGTGTTGGGAATGGGAATGAGAAGAGGGGCTGGTGAGGACGTGGCCGACGTAGTACTCGTTCATGGGATGATGTGGAGGGTACTGTGTGGAGTAGGAAGTTAGGCGTGAAGATGAAGGGTAAGGGTAGGGAGGTTGCAGTGGTTGTGACGGCGGTGGAGGTGGTGGTGCTGGCGGTGGCTGTGGTATCATAGTAGAAGAAGAACCAGTGAATAGTCTTGGCGGGTACACTGATCTGAATGGATCTCCAATATGTCCTGCTGGATGGTAACTTCCTGCGGTGATTGGATGGCACCTGGTGGTAAGAATAAAAATTATTTCATTCATCAAGAAACAAAACAACAACAAAAGGATGAAGAAGAAAATGATTATTTTTCCATTTCTGGTCTTGATCATAATAATAATGCTTCTTCTGTTGTTATTCTCTTTTTCGTGCAAAAAAGTAGAAAAAGAATATATGAAACTAAAAAAATAACAAATCGTCCTTGATGTTAGACATTGATCAAATCAAGTAAAACAATTTCTGGGTATCTTGTGAAACCTCAAAAGAAGAAGAATGGTAAGAAAAATAAATAAATTGAAAAAAAAAATAAACATACCCTAGATGAGGGGTTCCTTGAGCGGCTAGGTTATCGTTACTGAAGACGAGCTGACGAGCCCGGTTCAGTGTCTCTGTCTCCCTCTCTGAACGCAACCAACAAAAACAACACCACAAATCAAATCAAATCAAATCCCTCAACGAGAAATTCATCAGAGAAAAAACCTAGCTATAAACTTTGTTTCCCTCAAAGATTGACAAGACTTGAGCTTTATTTTTTCGCTTTTTTTTATGGGGTGTATAAAATGTAGGATGAAAAAGTAGTGACCACTGTACAAAAACAAAGTATGGAAGGCGCAAACTTTGTTAGTGAAAACAAGTCAATAGAAAGAAGGAAATGAGTTGCCTTGTCGGTGGCGGTTCATGTGTCCCCCAAGAGCTTGAGATTTGCAGAACTTGAGGGAACAAAACCTACACTGATAGACCTTCCCGCACTCATCTTTCCCATCCTTAGCGCCGCTTTTCTTTTTCCTGTAGCCTACACAACCAAAACCAAAACCAATAAAAGTAGCTTCGATGAGACCAGACAACCCTAATTACCCAAATCATGTTTGAAAAATATTATAAAATACTAACACCACCTACATTATTTTTATTTTGCTCTTCCTTTTTCATGTTTGTTTTTAATTTTAAGCTTTGAAACTTTGAAGAGCGTGAAAATATATGTTTATTGTTCTTCTTTTCTGTCTTAATTAGTGAAGTTATTTTGTATTACCAGAAGCTGAAGAGGAATCATCCAAGACTTGTTTGCCATCTCTAATACTGAAATCTTCAGGCAAGTTGTTGAGGTCCAAAGGGTTCCTCTCAGGTCTCCTGCAAAATTTAAAAAACAAAGTTTAACAGAGAAGAGAGATAGATAGATAAAAAGAGTGAAAAAGATGGATTCAAAAGAGTGATGTGAGTGAGTAAGAAAAGAAGAAGAGAAAAGAAAAGAAAAAGAAGAGAAGGGATAAATGAATGGATGGATGGATGGAAGTGTGGGGAAGACCTACATGGTACCGACAGAGAAAGACAGAAAAAATATGGGGTAAACTAAACAATCTTTCAGATGGGAAGATATAAGTAAAGCTTTAGAAAATTATAAGACTTCAGTTTGAGACTGCTATATAGAGGCTAGTTGAGTGAAGGTAGAGAAAAAGGAGGTTTGAAAGTTCTCTATCAGTTTTCTCTGCCACCCACTCTGGACTCATCTCTCTCTCTCTCACTCTAAAAATTGAAAGAACAAGAGAGGACAGTGGGTCTCGTGACTTTAAAAAGAAGAAGAGGCTTAAGCAGGTCTTATTATATGATTTGGTTAGATGAGTTAGGGATTGAGAAGGACGTTGCCTTAGTATTTTTTTTCTTTTCTTTTATCTTTTGTCGGGAATGGGCTAACTCTATTGCCCTAGAACTAGTAGTGTCGTCTTCAATCATTCAATCAAATCTATATCTATTGACTATTATATTCATCCTTGTTCCTTGTTAGAGCTCTTTATAGATTTATATTTCATTAACACATCACATCATCAAACTCTTAAATTAACTTTATGATTTTGATTTCAAGATATATATATATATACACAACATCGATCCCTGCCCTAAAACTCATCTCATCTTCGATCTATGTTAAATGGTCCCCAGGGTTAAGGGTTTGCTGTCCTCTCCTGGTGATGATTGTACCCTGGCTCTTGCCCTGGAACATGGAACTGTTACTATCAAAATCTAATTATTAGGGTTTTGTGATCTAAGTTGGGATACAGATCTATCTGATCCCAAATATTGTTTTATTCCTTGGAATTTCCTAGTTCCTTCCTCTCTGTCCTTTTCATTGTGTGTATGTCAATTTTAATTCAACAAAAACTGTTGATTCTGGCTTTTCGACCTTAGATTAAATTAACTAACCATACTGTTTATATCTTAATCAGGAGCAAATAATTCAATTAATTTGTTGTTTATTTGATTATTCTGGGATTGAATCGATTGACAATTTTATATTGAGCTGCTATATATGCTTTAGTTAACAAGTTTCCAAAACCGAGGTGGGGTTCAAGCTATCTGTTGAAAAACAAATTCATTCATTTTCAACTAATTAATTAATGTCCAAATATACTTATGAATAAAAATATATGCTTTGTTCAATAAATTCTCTTACCAAATACTGATTAATTAAGATTTCAGAAAACACTTTAACTGTTCAACGAACATATATTTTTCGAGATTTTCAAGCTCTTTTGTTATCAATGATGAGCCGAATAACTCAAATGCGTTTCACCCCAGAAAGGCAAAAGCTATTAACAATACATTTCTACTTCTTGTTCTCCACGAACCTGTGATTTGATCTCAAAACCTCTCATACAACTCGATAAATATAGTTAATCTTCCCAACCCCACTTAATATATTATACAGAATGATAAATATCTAGGTGGTTTGATCTCGAAACATCTCATATATGTAACTTGACGTACATATATGGTTAAAAAATTTACTGAGGAACCTTTATATATTTCCAAGTCCTCATTAAGAATCAACATGTCCACCATGATATTTGAGAGATTCTCCATGATTAATCTGTCCCTTGGAATATGAGCTTATTGATGCGTGAAATTAAGCTGCAGCATGGAGGTGACTAGCAATTGCTGGTGATCTGGGTACCAGCTGCAATAGTTTTTGTCAACAGCACAGAAAAATATTATCAGGTGGTTCATGGACCACTCTACTTTTAGCTTGTTTTGATTACAATAAGTATAACAGATTTTATTCAGCAAGCAGGCAATACCCCGCACCCAAACAACACTAAGTTTCCTGCACGTACAAGCTTACTTACAGATCCTCCATTATTGCTTTCATTTCCTTTCAGTGGTCCTTCCAACCATCATTCAATCTTCCCTTCAACACATTTCCCAATTTTCAATTTTTCTCATTCTTCTTATAAGTTCATATCCACTGCCTAACTTTGCCTAAACCATCCAATCCATTTCTATATATGTTATGCATTACACTTGATCTTCCTTCTATTTCTTCAAATTCCCTTCTTGTAATCAAGCCACATTAGGAATTTCTACATTCATCTTGCAAAAGTCTACAATTTTGTTTCTCTGAACCAAATTATTTCGCACCACTTTATGTGGTCCTAATGCAAATAATTAGTTTCACCAAATCTGCAACTGTGGTTCCCCAAGAATAAAAGATAAATTTTAGCTTCTCATAGCTTTTTCACATGAAAATTAAATAAAGAGTGCTCGCTCATTCATGTGTCAACATTCTTACCTAGAGATGGTTGCAATACAAAGAGATTACATTATTTGTCGCAACCATTTGTTTCATTCTAATGTTTCATTATAATATTGATAGTTGAAATATAACGATGCCCTTCAGATGAGAATTAATTTAAGGGCAAGAATTTAATTAGAAAGCAGACCTAGAGCTATAGCTATAGCTATATATAGACATCGGCGTTTCCAATCGGAAAATTTAGATGTGCAGCTATAAGAACTACGAAATGACAAGCTTATCGGGCACTGAATCCAAGTTATAGACTGAATCAGACCAGGATAATTTAATGGAGTTAACGTACTTTGTACCTAACTATTAGCAAATTAATATTAAAATTGAGATTGGAAACATTTTTTCTTGTTATTTTTGGTCATATTTGGGGCTACCTAGACATCTACTTGGCTCGATGTTATGTGATGGTTTTAAAAGCAGATTTTGATCCCAATGAATGCAGTGCAGCTCATTTTAGGAGAAAGAAATTTAATTTTCATTGCATTGATTCATCTAATCATCTTCACTATTCCTGCAAAAAAGTGTTTTGTGTACAATTAATACAAATCAAACTTCAAATATTTCAAGAAAATTAACGACTTGACGATTAATACTTTGTTATTCCATGCAATGCGATATCAAATATTATGTGCAATATTAGAAGCTTAGATTGAATGGCATTTTCTGTGCTTAATTATTGAAGATTTAAGAATTTTTAGTTCTTTTTTTTTTTTTTTTTCCTTGGTTTAAGTTCCATTTTTTTTTTTTTTTTTTCCTTGGTTTAAGTTCCAAAATCTTTAAGCATTTTGATAGTTAATTAGGATGTCTAAGCATTTTATAAACCTTTTTCTTTTTAATTTTGTTATGTCTGGAAAAGCAGGACTGACGTAGAGCCCAGTCAACGTAAGTGGTCAAGGTCTAGGAAGATCTTGCTGCCATTCAGACGCGGCCACATCGCATGCTGACATGAGTAGCATGCTCCTGCCAGTGCAGTGGGTGCTGGAGGTCGTCCACATGTCCAATCCCTGCATAAAAGCGAGGAAATCACGCGAGTAGGTGAATAACGGGACGCAAAGGAGGATTTGCATGGTACTTAACCCCTTTTTATGGATTCAGTAATGATTACCTCAATGTATTTCGCTATAAATAAAGAGATTCTCTCCCGTTTAGGGGATTCGCTCATTTTTTACTCTTGATTAGTTATCTTCTCTCTGTAATAACACTCTCTCGCTCTCTCATTTGTATTCTCATCAGCTTACTAAACCGCGACCTGATCCTTTAAATATAAATACAATATTAGTTGATGTAGGATTCGCTTGTTTAAGTATCTGAACCATTTTAAACATTGTCTTGCCACCATTTACATTCTCAATCCCCAATTCACGTGTGTCTTCTGGGCCAGCTCAACATTTCACATGTGTGTTTAGTTGGTGTCAAAATCACGCATCAACAAATTTGATTCATTATTATGGTGAATATATGTTTATTGATTATGATTTTTTAAAGGATTAATATTATTTGAAAGACACTTATTTTAGAAACCTAAAAAAGAATGACACAAATTTTACTTGTATCAATAAACGGAAACATTTTATCCTCAAATGTCATCTTTTTAATATTTTTCTCTAAAAAAGTGTTAATTTATTGATAAAAAGTGTAAAAAAGTGTATGTTTGTCGACATTTTTATTTTTATTTTTTAAAAATAAACGTTCACTAATTTATAATAACATTTTTTTAAATGATCAAGAATGATACTGTTAAAATAAGAAAAATTAATGTTATTTATATATTTTCGTTTACAATAATACTATGTGCACTAACCATTTTGTACTAATCCAAGTACTAACATTGAAAATTTGAATTACTTTTTTGGCAGAAATTTCAAATTTTCAATGTTAGTACTTGGATTAGTACAAATGGTTAGTGCATATAGTATTGCCCTTTTGTTTAACAGGTCTTGAGAGGGAAGGCTCCTAGAACATATTTTAGGAACTTTATTTGTTGTTTTATTTGGTATAATTGTTCCAAGTCAAATTTTTATCTACGGAATTTATTTTTGTTTTTAAGTTATCACTTATTGTTGTGATGTTTTTAATAATATAAGATTTTAATTGTAATTCATTTATTTTTGGAATGAGAGTATGCAACATGTTCAATAGATTGAAACCATATCCCTTCTCCTCGAAATTAGCCATTACATCATTCACAAACTCCTAAATAATTAACAACAAAATAAATTAATAAAGAAATATTAATTAATAAGTAAGAGACATGTTTTAACTCCAAAAATTATAGTATTTTTTATTTAATTTTCTCCGGCCATAGCTTATATTCTAATAATATAATTAATTTAGAACTATATTGTAAAGTTATACTAAGAAATCTTGCAAAGTGAATAACATTGAACCTTGCTACTATTCAACATAGTGTAATATTTATCATCTAACTAAATAAATTATATTTATATATAGTTTTTTTCTTAATTAAATTGCAAAAAGAATGTTTTGGAGATGAAACTAATTTATGCATGAATTTTTAGTCCTATCTAATTTTTATTTTTCGATTTTGTTTAATACTATTTGAGTAAAACTTATAGAAGAGGAGCGGTCGTAGAGCTAAATTCATGCCATGAACAACCCATGTCACAAAATTTTTTAAATTTTATATAAAAATTATCAATTTTGTCTTTATAAATTCAGATTTTCTCTTTGGCCACCCTAGTTTTTGAACATCACACTCATACATTTGCAACTTTTGTTCTCTAACCCTTTTATTCATTGAACATTACTTTTGGCCCCCCAAATAAAATTTTCTGGCTCCACCGTTAAAGAATAGCTTATGGAATTGTAGCTTTTATGAAAAAGTTATTGCCTTGTTTGGTTAAAAAAAATGTAAAAGAATTTTTTAGTGTTAACTTACTTAAAAGGGTTTTAATATACAAGAATAAATCAACTCAAAAATAAAAATAGAAAAATGATATATTTTTTTTTTTAAAATTTCAACACTTTAAAAAAACTCAAAAATAGCGTATAGGAGAAGCTTAAATTTTGAGTTTTCTAAAATTTATTCTAAATCCTACAAGTGTTTTTGAAACGTCTCCAACAACCTAAAACACTTCAAAAAATGCTTAGGGTCTGCTTGGGAGTTTTATGGTAGTGGTTATGAGGGTAAACCATCATAGCGGTTTTGAGAGTAAACTACTGTAGCGGTTTTGAGGGGTTTTTAGTAGCGGATTTTAAAACACTCAACTTGTGCTTGGGAGTTTATTTTCCAATAGTTCTGACAGTTTTTCAAAATGATAAATTTACATATATGCCCATAACAAAACCCTAACAAAAAGTGTAAAATATCAACTCTGAGTGTTTTTTCAGCTTCGTAATCTTTTCTCTAATGAGATTAAGAAAGAAAATTACAAGTCTGATTCTTCGCAAGACCCATTACTACCACCTGGTCCTGCTCCGTTACCACCAAAGTTGAAACCCCACCTTGAAAGATCTGATTCATTGCTTGCTAAACATAAACAATCTACTCCCATTATTGTCTGTCGTAAATGCAGTTCTGTTTCTACTAAACCTTCCACTTCTTTTACATTTGCTCGACAACAACAACAACAAACTGATGACAAGAAGCCGTCTGCTGATATAAAGCAGCCCTCTGTAGAACGAAGTAGCAGCTTGTTGAAGGTCAAAACAGAAGAGAAAGCTGTAACGACTGGAGCTAGAAGCTCCAGAAGAAGCAACAGAAATCTAACAACTAATACTAATAATACCACTTCTCCTCCTTGTAACAAAAAACAAAACGTCACCTCAGGTTCAAAAGCTGGTTCAGGTTCATGTTCTGTTGATAAACAAGAAACTCTGAAAGAGATAAGAAGACGAGTGAGGGATCAAGCACATCTATTCTGTGACTTTTTTTTTAGTAGCAAAGAGATTATTAATAGTGGAAAGGGGTTTTTTGGGATAAAAATTAAAAACCAGCCAAAACACCCCGATTTGGGGTATTTTATGAACCTCTCAAAAATACACAACACTGGTTTTAGGAGGTTTTTAAACCAGTCAAAATCAATCCATAAAAAATCTGACAAGTAATAGTTTTTAAACATCTCAAAATCAGTCTAATTAAAAACCTTCCAAAATTAGCGAAAAAAAAAAAAAACTCCCAAACATGGATTTAAATAAGCTCTTTTATGGCCAACAAATAAGCCCAACCAAACAAGCTTTTTTTTTTTTTTTTCCTCTTTCTTCTACTTGGGGTTAATATGAAAAGTTCATAAAATTTATAGGGTAAATATGAAAATCTTATAAAATTTGTTTAATTAGTGTGATATTAATGACTTTGGCAGTTATTATGAGATTTTAATTTAAGGGTAAAAATGTCATTACAATATTTCAATGAATTTTTAATGAGTGATGCTATTGGTCCAATATTTTATCTCTTTAAACCTCAATCATTATCAAATTTTTAGTTACGATTTTATCCCTAATTAAAATTATTAAATGAGATATAAAAGAATTATAAAAATTTAATAAATAATAAAATGATAAAAAAAATTTGTAAAAAACATGAAAAGGCCCAAGATTGAGAAAGCCTAAAAAAAGGCCCACTACACTATCCTTTCCTTATCCTTCGAAAATTTCAGTCTCAATCTCATCCTTTCAATGGCGTCTCTTCTCTCACTCAACTCACTAACTCTTAACGCCTCTTCTCCTTTCAAAGGCAACATCTGTAACTTAAGACCAAACCCATCTCACTTCTTTGATTTCTCGCTCAAAGTCCAGCGCCAGCAAAACAGAACTTCACTCACTATCCTCAACCAAGCTGCTGCAACACCAGCACCTCCTGCTTCGGTTTCAGGTCCGGTTACGAACATCCGGTTCCGCCTTGACAACCTTGGCCCGCAACCGGGTTCGAGAAAGAAAGGGAAGAGAAAGGGAAGAGGGATATCAGCTGGGCAAGGGGGCAGTTGTGGGTTTGGAATGAGAGGTCAAAAGTCAAGGTCTGGTCCCGGTGTTAGAAAAGGCTTTGAAGGTGGTCAAATGCCGCTTTATCGTCGAATTCCCAAGCTTCGGGGGATTGCTGGAGGTAATTTTGGGAGTTGGAATTGCAAAATTTTGATTTTCTTTACGTGTTTCCAAGTTACCCTTTTAAGGATTTTGTGAATTGTATGTTGTCATGGTGATGATTTGATGAATTCATCTTATTTAACTGCATTTGGAGGTGAAAAAATGTCATATTTGACAGGGCCATTGGATAAGTTGATAGTTTTTTTTTTTTTTTCGTGTGTGTGTGTAATTGGTTAGTTTCTAATATCCGAATTGTCAACTGATAAGTGTTTGGTTTTCATTTTTTTTTTGTTAAAGTTCGCAATATACTGCTGCTTTTTTTATATGTTTAAGTGGCCCATTTAAGCATTTTGTGAACTGAATGTTGTCATCATGATGATTTTATTTCTCCACACCTTGTGGGATTGGTATGGATTTATAAGATGAATGTTTGATATTCAAATTGAGAAGCAACAAATTCGTTTTGTTTTGTATGTTGTTTTATGCAATTGATTCCATGTGTTATGAGAAGCCTTAGTTTTCAATTTTCGTGTTATGGTTGCAATGATGGATTGGATTTTTTGTGGATCTACTTGTGGCAATGCTATTGTTGTGGGACGTCCGGATGAGTGCTAAATTGATTTTCTCTTTTAAAGGGAAAATGTTGGAGAGTCTTTGGTGTTGAGATTTCTCTTGCTTAGTTTGAAATCCTTTTGTCTTTTATTGGTAAGCATCAATTTCTTTCTTAACATTGGTAGTTGAATTTTGTGTACTCTTGTTCTTTCTTGTGCTTGTATCTCTGTATGTGTGAATATCCTTAGAATTCTTACTGACATCTTTCTCTTCTTGTTACTACAAGGTATGCATGCGGGGTTACCTAAATATGTCCCAGTTAACTTGAAAGACATAGAAGCTGCAGGATTTCAGGAAGGTGATGAGGTTTCACTGGAGAGTTTGAAGAAGAAGGGTTTGATCAATCCCTCTGGAAGAGAAAGGAGACTCCCTTTAAAGGTACTGTTGGCCTGATCTTGTCACTAACTTCAAAACATCGATCTATTTGTCTATAAATTCTCATTACATCTTACATGCAAAACATAGTGCTAATTTCTAATAGAAAGACAACTATTTGATCTGTTTCATTTAGGTCCATGAAATAAGATATGCTTAATTTTTGCTTCTATGCATTTTACAATATCGAACATGGAAAAAGCAACTACTGTACTATTTACTGTTTATTTTGATCTGCAAAATATATTGCCTGGACTTGTAAACATTTTGGGATTGATAGTGAAGTACCTTTATCTTAGTTACACATATCTTGGTACTCAAGACCGTATACTTTTGGCTCAGACTTGATCTTTTTTCCTCGTAGATCAAGTGTTTAACACTGTTATGTGCGGCTCTCTCTCTCTGTGAGTGCATATGTTTGCCTGTCTTGACACACGTGTGTGTAATCAACCATGTTATTTGAACAGTTTTGTTTTTATATTAATTTGTGCTAATCATGAATGAGACTTTATTTTCTCTAATTCCACTTTGATCAAGTATTTGAGAGGCTTGGTACCAGACCTACTATTATTGCGCAAACCAAAGTGCCAATTGATTATGTTGATTTCAGTAAGGCAGTGGTGGTGTAATAATTTGGTTCTTCTGCTACCAATAAGCAGAAAGAAATTATTGGGCTAATCTCTCAATTTTGTGTGCATTTAAGTGCTTTTTAAGCATCATCATTAGGTGTAATACGGAATAAAGTCAATAAAACCTGCAAAATACGAGAGACAACAAAGTTTCCGTTTTGTCACAGGTCAATAATTGCCTTTTTTAGCCTCCTTTATAACAGCTGCATGCAACTTCACATTACCAAATCACATGTATCGACCAGATCTAATAGTGGTATAAATTAAGCTAATAATGATTGGGTATTTGTTCTCCAAAGCTTCCTTTTGCTTTTTGATTTTTTGGTAATCTTTCAGTTTCCTTCCTGCCTTTTTTCTAAAGAAAACACAACTGTCATTGCTACTTTGAGCCAGTGCAAAATTGAGATATAGTAATAAACTTTGGACTTTTAAGGAGACCTGAATCCAAAAAATCTAATTTTGAAGTTTCATTTGGAATCTCTTGTTCCAAATGGTTTTATAAGTGTAGGATTGTTGGTGATAGAGTTTCTAAACACAGTATCAAAACAAAGATCTTGGGTTCGAATCTCTCGTGTGTCTAGGTTCATGGTCGGAGAAAGAAACCTGAGCTGCAACGAATATCACTATCAATTTCTCAGTGTCAGCTTAAAAACTACAAATAAATCCTAGTAGCAAACATGTGCTTTTAAGAAGAGAGTAGACAACATGGTTTAATGGCTTTTGGGAAACATTTTCAGTTTTATATGATTGTTTTGCTTGTTTAATGTTGGATTCAGATTCTCGGTGATGGGGAACTAAGCGTGAAGTTGAACTTTAAGGCTCGCGCCTTCTCAACAGCAGCAAAGGAGAAGCTTGAAGCTGCTGGTTGTTCCCTCACCGTGTTACCTGGTCGAAAGAAGTGGGTAAAACCATCAGTTGCCAAGAACCTCGCGCGTGCTGAAGAATACTTTGCCAAGAAGAAAGCTGCTGCAGCTGCTTCTGAACCAGCTTCTGCTTAAACTTTAACTTTAAATGTCAAAATAGAGTTATTGTAGGGTGTTCAATTCTTTTCCTTGTGTTTTGCAGGTTTTTTCGGTAGAGAATTAAGGATGAAGAGGGTTATCCATCCCTAAAAATGTACTTTCTTGTAACTGTTTCTTCTACATATTCAATCCCATTGAAAATTCTGTTTACTTTTTCAGCCTAAAGTATGATATATGTATCATGGTATCTAGATATTTTTTAATAAAAAAGTATTGATTTGAAAGGGTCAATAAATCAAACATGGCATCCCATTTTGGACCAAATACCAAATGTGTTGGTGGGAATCTCCAAGTAAGCAAAAGATTTTACAAAATGGTCAAAATCCAAATAATCAAATTGGAAATGCTGATTGACATCAGAGGCTTATTTGAATTGGAATACACTTGCAATAATAAAAGAATGCCTCGTGCCCAAAACCAATAGTATAAAGTTGTAGGGGGTATGGGGTGGGTCCTGAAGCATAGAATTTTCTTTTAATTGGACATAATCATTTGGAATTAATTCCTCTCTTGATAAAAGAAAACCAACCCATCTCTCTTTTCTTTTTTCCTTTTCAATTTCTTGTCGTTTCATCACCAACCTCTCTACTGTACGAGAATGAGATTTTTTTCATTGTTTTTTGTTTATAATTTAAAGTTCGTTTGATTGGACATAATTCTTAGCTGAAAAAGTTCATTTAAAGTTTAACCGTCTCTAAGTGATCAGATTTGACAATAAAAACTTTTGAATGTATTACTCAAGAGATCTTGAGTTTGATTCTTTTCGGTTGATAGTAGAGATGATCACTAGAGGATTTAACCCGAAAGATTAGTCGGTTAAGTCACCAAAAATAAAAAGAAGTTTATTTAAGGTTATAATATGATGACATATTTGAGCATACATCATACAAAGTGTTTTATTTTTCTAATTATTTAAAAATAATTATCTCTTTTGAAAAAGACCCTTCATGAGAATTTAACAAGGAATTGCTTCTTAATTAGACAAGGGAAGAAGAGTAGTAGCTTTCCTCACAAAATTTTAGCCTAAGCTAACTTATTCAATGGGGTTAACACAAATTTGAAAATGACATTGAACTATTTAATATCAACAAAGTTAGATGATTTAACTTGGTGCTGACACGTGGCAACACCCCAATTACTGTTTTTGTTAATTGCATTAAAAACTTGATTATTATTAGGTTAATTGGAGTTTTCTGTGAGGATAATAACTATGGAACCATTCTTGCTAGCTTTTGTCTACGCACTTCGATTGGTCCTTGTAAGTGATTAGTACAACATCTCATCGTCATAATCATCTGCTTAAATCTTGGGAGTCTTGTTCTCAACTTAATAGACATGTCCGTGCAAGTCTAGACCTAAAACAGATAATATTTACTTTTGCGGACCTAAGATGTTACATTTATGGCTGCTTTTGTTTTAATTTTTTTTCACTATCCTATCTTATTATCTTATCAAATCCAATGAAATAATTATTTTTCTATTCAATTCAAAATTCAATTATATTTTATTCAACTCAAAATATTTAACAATTACTTTTCTCAATAAAAGTTTATAAATTAACAAAAACACCCCCACACATCCCAAGCTACTATCACCCGCCAATAGCCACTGTTGCCACTACCACCGTCAAACGTTAGTGCCATAACAACACACGACTGGCTAGATTTGGCCAGTCATGCGTCGATCTGACCTTTTTCGGCAAGATCCACCATGGATCTGGTCGAAAACGACAAGATTTACCGCCCAAGATATGGTCGTTGACTGTCAAAAATCTGGCCATCAACGACAACTATTGTTTGGCCACCGTCAATGGTCGGATCTGACTAGAAAATGACAGATCAGTGCACGATCGGCCAAATCCAGCCAGTCGTGCGCATTCTGATCATCGTCTGACTGCTAGTAATAGTTGGGTGAATATGGATATTTTTGTTAATTTATAAACTTTTATTGTGGGAGGTGTTTAGTTAAATTAACAAATGTAACAGGTTAAAAAAGAATCTAAATATTTTATAAAACACGTTCTCGTAATTCTATCATATGTCATTAGAATACTATTCTAAAAAGTAAAACAAACGCACCTTTCAAACCAAATAACTAACAATTTTTCTATAACAAAACTCTATTTTCTCATAAGATGCTATGATAAGATCATTTACTGAATTCGAATAAACCCTATTGGAATTTGGACAGATCAACAAAAGCAACAATAGCTTCTTGGTACAATTTTTTGTCAATTGGGAATCAATGTGTCACATAATGACATCAATTTTATAACTAATTAATTAATAAAAAAAAAATGGGTTAATTTTGTCACGTAGTATTGTTTACTAAAACATGGACAAAATGGTAAATACGGTAGTTCACGAGTGTACTATATTTAATTAATTGTTGTTATAAAGAGTTAGATTTGTCAATTCTTAGTTAATAACAACCTCAAATTTTAAAATTGATGGATATATTTGATGCACGATATTTACAATAAAATAAAAAATTGACCTTGTTATGCATTATTTATTTAGAAAATAAAATCAAAACATGTTTTACACAAAAAGACAAAATTTCAGTTAATTTTGTTAATTCTTAGTTGATAACGAATTTTTTTTTTTTTTTTGAAAACTAAACTCTATTTGACACAATTTACTTCAATAAACTCGAATATTATCACTATATTCAAAAAATTGTACTAAAGGAAACAACAAATGGAACCATTCTTGGGCTTCTATGAAGGAATTAGTACTTCTTTGGATCTTAGCTTCTGGTAGAAAAAATTGTCACATAATATATAACTAATAAATGGAACTAAGTAGTTTAATTATTTTATAATACAAATGGGTTAATTTTGTCATGTAGTATTGTTTACTAGAACCATGGAAAAAATGGTTAATATGGTAGTTAACGAATGTTTATTATATTAATTGTCGTTATAATGATTAGATTTGTCAATTTTTAGTTATACAACCTTGATTTTTAAATTGATTGATGTTTTTATGCACAATATTTTAATTTAAAAAGAATTACCATGTTATGCATTTTTTATTAATTTAATCACTATTTTTAGTTAATTTGCTTGAAATATATAAATTATTCGTGGCATAGAATAAATTCAAGTGTCTATGTCTTGAAATTTATAAATTGTAAAAACTTTCATTATACTCACATCGATGTTGTATAGCGAGAATTCAAGAAATTATTGCTGACAAGAGTAAAATCTTAATCATTACTGATAGTATGATGATAAAACAAAAGAGGTTTCATAAACTCTTAAAGTTTGAGTCTCTATAAGCGTTAATAGGGGTGCTCACTGACCACTGAAAGTTTATTTGTCGTCAACTTTAAGATCTCAGAGATTAGTTGAGGTGTGTAAACTGGTCGGGACACATTCAATCAAAAAAAAAAAAAAATCTTGTTTTTTTTTCAAAAACATTCATTCATGTCATAAATATATTTAAACAATACGTTTTGAAATTCTTAAAATCAAAACCTTCATATTATAAAGACAATTCAATTTTTTCGAAAAATTATCTCTGGATGACGATAAAAGTCTTGATTATTTCATGATGTTCGAAATAGGATCGATTATCGAAGTTCATAATAAGCATGGATGAGAATGGTTGGTCCAAAATGATGATATTGTTGACAAGTTGTTAAAAAGAAAAAAATTTGATGAAATTTAATTTAAAAAAAAAAAGAAAAAAGGTTGTAATAGTGAGAAAAACGTGGGGAAGATGTCAATTATTTCCAAATGGTAACATCGCAGCTACTTGGGTTTGGTTCCTATTTCATGTTTCTTGGAGCAACGCCCTCCACGTGATTATTTAATAAGAATCAAATCAACCCAGCCCACAATTATTTTTTTATTATTACTTCAGGAAATATCGTATTCAATTATTCATATCCTCCTCTCAGACATCTTATCTTCTTTATTATTTTTCTATTATTTAGAATCTTTTCTTTTTCTCAATATATTATGTTAATACTTTTCTCTCAATCTTTACCCATAAAAACCTAACCCTATCCAAATTTCAAAACTAAATTTATGAAAACGTCTTTCTTCTTATTGGTACGTTTTTTTGATAATTTTAGAAAATTTAAATTTAATCATAAATCTAATTATTTGATTAATCGTTTATGGATTACTGAATTCATTAATTAACATAGAGTGTTAAAAGGATGAATTTTGATTTAGTTATATTTTAATTCGATTTAAGCATTATTAATTATAATTATTATATTCCAATAAATAAATAGAAATGCGATGAAAATATCAAAATAAAGTAATTTAAAAAAAAAAAAAATCTTGTAACCCATGCCGACCACGTCTTCGTATCAATGTTTGAACATGGGCACGTGTCAAGAAATGAAAGCGACTGGTGTTTTACTTGGAAATCACACAAGGCGTTGACAAAAAAGACGAGGTTGTTGTTGAAGGTTGATGGGCTCTCGGGTTTGGGTCGGTTCGGTACGTAACTTTGAGATTTTTTTAAATAAATTATTATTATTTTTTGAAACTTGGGTACTGATACCAAGGCGATTTCTCGCGGGAGGCACCGCCTGCATGGGCAAGGGCAATTTCTTAAAATGACTATTTTACCCCCTTGATTTTTTTTAATTTTTTTTTTTACTTAACACCCCTTTTCTTCTAGTTTGGAAACTAATTATATTCACCTGATTTTAATTTTTTAAGTAAAGTGTATTGTTGAATCAAAGTAAAAGAGAAAATATATTTGAAAAATGCTAAAAAAAAAAAGAAAAATACAAACTGAAAATTACAAATTTTACAAAAACAGAAAATATTTTAAAGGTATGGAACACACCTTCTCATAAGTAGTTGTACATGTATCCGTTGCACATAAGAATTATTCGAAAATCCAAAGTGGTGAATAAAATCACCTCAAACCTCTGTTCTCATGGGTCGGATGAAAAAAAAACCTTTAAACCGTTGAAATTAGTTATACCTAAAGAGTCTTTTGATTGAGTCATAATAGAGATATCTATCGCATTTATGTAATCACTTTAGTCTATTAGACTTGTAGAATGTTCAATGAACCTAAAGATTAGACGATTTAATTGGCAATTGTGCCCGGAATACTATAGTTATTTTAAAAAAAAAAATCACCTCAAACCCTAGGGGATAAAATCATAAATAAGAAAACCTTTTAATAAAAAAACAAAAATGTAAAAACGGAAAAGCAAAAGCAAGGAGAAAGTGAAACAAAGACATTAAACAAGTTGGTGTGTGTTTGCAGGTCTTGTCCCACTGAAATTAAAAATAAAAATAAATAAATAAAACTAAGCTTCGCTGTTGGCTGTTGGCCTGTTGCCCAATATCAAAACTACTGACTTTTCTCTCTCTTTCTCTTTCTCTTTCTTTAAAATTTAACATTTTCACCCCCCTTTTTCCTTCCCTATAAATCTCTCACCTTCCCTTCCTGTACTGCTCTGACCCCTCTACGCCTAACGTCTTCAAAGCTTCCATTTTCATTTCCAATTTTTTGTTTTTTTTTTTCATTTCCATGTGTTGTGTTTGTGTTAAGTGTTGTTAATATAGTTGAGAGTTGAGAGTTTTCAAGCTGTGCCTGTACAGTTAAGTTAAAGGTATTGTCTTTAAGCTCGTTAGATCTCTTTATCTCTTCCTCTTCTCTTCTTTCTTTCTTCACAAACTCTTTAAGCTTTAGATCTGTTTCTTTTGATCTTTTTCTTGCTAGGAATTTTCTTCAAGTTTGGGTTTTTTTGATCTCATACTCTTTGCAGATCTGTCAAGAATTCAAAGTAATCTCGTTTGTTTTATCAACTTTTACTTTTGAGTTTTAAACGTGAGAACCCATCTGGGTTCAGGTTATAAACTTTGAATTTCAAGTTTTTTTTCTTTCTTGCTTTGACAGAAAGATTCAGTTTTTAAGTTTGTATATTTTCTGGGTTTTGCTCAAAAGCTTCAAATTTTGGGTCTTTTTATGATGGTTGAACCAGATCTTAAGTTCAAGTATGTTGGATGTTAGATCTTGAGCTTTGAATTTACAAATTTTTGTGTTATTTTTTCTCTGCAGGAGAGAATTTTCTTGTTTATAAAGAATAGAGGTAGAAACATAGAAGAAAAATGAATCAGTGTGCGATCCAGCAGAACATAGTCACAGGTCGTGAAGAGATGAGAACCTCAGTTTCAGACAGGAGAGACCATGTTGTTTGTCCTAAACCACGCCGTCTTGGTGTCCTTCACGCAACCATCAACGACCCTCAACCTGTTCGCTCTCTCAGATGGAACCTTAGGTAAAAAATTTATACTTCGTCTTAAAATTTTGAAGCCTCTAGAAGATCAGAACTTTATCTCTTGGTGTTAATAATTTGGTTTTGTTGTGATTTTCAGCCACCAATCAGAGGCGTTGGATCCAAGAGCAGGATCTGATCTTTTCGACATCATACTCCCAAAGGTATTTTGTTCATCCTTGTGAATATTTTTATTTATTGGTAGGATATGTGGGTGATTGAGCATGAATAACAAGTGATTGATTTTAATTTAAGTTATGAAATAAAAATCTGAACTTGGAACCATGAAAATTCTGGTTAGAATATGGTTTCTAGATGTTAGATGATATTAGGGTTGAATGGTTGGTGTCGTGTTGTTGAGAAATAATTTTGATTTGTTAATGTTTCTATAGGGTGGTTATGGTGGTATGGAACAATCTTGTACACAAGTATTAGCATCGTCACCCCCATTTTTTTGTGGGTCGCCGCCCCCATTTTTTTGTGGGTCGCCACCTAGCAGAGTAGCTAACCCATTAATACACGATTCGCGTTTTGGAGATGAGAAGATCATCACCCCGGTGTCACCGGTGCAGCTTTCACTTTCACCATCTTCTTCAAGGAAGACTGGTGGAGGAGGAGGAGGAGGAGGAGGAGGAGGCTGTGTTCGACCCAATTTTGGTAACAAACCTGCAGTGAGAATTGAGGGGTTTGATTGCAGGGATAGGCGCAATTGCAGCATCCCTGCATTGGCATAGAACCAATTCATCTATCAACAAAAGTACATATAGAAAAAAGATCAGGAGCTAATGAATTTTTACTTTACAGAAGCACAAAGAAGTTTGATGATAGCATGAGGTGAGTTTTGAAGTTCTCAAGAGATGGTAAAAGAAAGATCCTTTGTTTAGTGTAAATATGTTTATAAAGAAAGGATTCTTCATTTCATTTCTTTCTTTGTATGTAATTATGTATCTTGTAAGTAAGCTCAAATAATTAAGAGGGGTAATTAGGTTTAATGGTTTGGAAGAGTATGAAATTCGGTTTTTCTGTGTTGAGAAAACCCCATTTGGCTTGTTGTATTATATAAGTAAAAGAAGTCTCAATTGTGATGGGAAGTTTTCTTCTTTTCGGGTTCATTGAAGTTTCTATGAAAGGCACCATATGGGAACAACAATTTGTACAAAGACTTGCTATTTTGAGTCAACTTTGTAGTTGTAGTCATTTACAATGTGAATATACCTTTTGTGTTGTTTCTTCGTTTTATTCTCTCTTTCTTTTGGAACTTGGTACCTTTCGCTTATGCTTCACGCCAATAATATGGTCTCATGACATGAGTCATGAGCAGCATCTTCCTCAATCTTCTCATCCATTGCTTGGAATTATTGATCAAGAATACCATCTAATGGCTTGAGTTGAGGTCTCTGAAAAAGTCTAATGGGTTCAAACTTTAATCATTCGATGTCCACAGTAATTTCAGGAGATCCTTAAATATACAGCCATACCATCATCTTTGCTTTTTGTCCCTTGAAGGAGAAACTTTAATGGCCACACCAGCATCATGGCTCATAATGAAATTCTGTCTCTGTCTCCACTCTAGTGGTTGAATAAATTAAAGTTGCAACATTTGCATACAATTTCTGGTGGCAATTTTTTTGTTTATAATTGAGGTTCAATTTGAGAGAGATTTAAAGAAGCATCAGATAAAGTGATTGTGCATCTTACAAGAAAGCTCTATGAATGCAGAATCCAGCTTTTAACAAATTTCCTTTTACTTTTTTCTCAGTAGAATCTAATCTTCTCTTTTACTTTGGCCTTCTTTTTCTCCAAGAAGTGAAAATCTCTGTAAACAAAAACAAGTTAAATCCCAACAAGCCTTAGCTTCTTGTGTGAGTTGTGCCATGGGGAGCTCATTATGGTTTTTTCAGGCATGCCTGTTTTTGATATTCATTAAATTAATTGTGGAGTTTGAATTTGATAGATCTTATGCAGTCTGTCACCACCTTTGACTAGCTGTTAAAGCTCAATTCTCAAGCCCTAACCCCCTAACCCTTATCATGAGGGAAAGCTGTTTAATTTATTTCTTGAATAATGCCATTTTCTTTTGCACGTTAGGGCTGAAAAATAAGTTAAGACTTGGTGCACATGATTCCCATAAATGTCTGTAAAAGATAATTTAGTTTATACCAAGAACAATGCCTACCCATGACTGAAATTATAGCTCTGTATAGTGAGCTTGGGCCAGAATTGAAACCCTGGTGCTCCATATACAAGTCCAAGATGGTTAACTCTTTTGGGTTATTGAGCCTTGAGAGCCCACAGCAAATTAGAGCAAGAGGTGGCATGTGAATATGTGTTGTGCTCACAGAATTTCACAAAATTGCTTCCATCATTACCGTGCAAACTCCCCATTTCTTAATACAATCTTTCCCTTCTCATCTTCTCTAATTTGTTCCTTCCCTATAAATATCATCATCATCATCATCAACTTTTCACTCACTCACTCTCCTTACCGTTTCATTCACGTTGCCAAACTTTTTTCTTACTATATACGTCTTTAAAAGGGAGAGGCAAGGCGCCACAAGAGGTGAAGATTCAAGCACAATGAGGAAGAAGAGCAAAAGGACAGTTGAGAAAGTGGAGGAGGAGGCCAAGAATGGTACTGTAGAATTGGCTCCAATGATGGCAGACAACTGGTTAGCTTGTGAAGAGTGGCCATGGTTAAAAGGAGTTGTGGATGAGCAAATGTCATGGGGATATTACTGTTTGCCAAATTGGGGTGTGGAGTTTATGGCTGAGTCTTATAATGCATTGTTCAGTGATGTGGTTTGGGATGATGATATTTGGAATTTGAAGAGTATCAAAGCCATCCCAAATCCATGAAATTTAAATTCAGTAACCATTTCAATTTTTCTCGTGTATTTAATTAACTTTCCTTTTGTTTGATGATGAACTTAATTCTGGCTTGTAATTGTGGGTTGATCAAATTAATCCATTCCCAAGTGGGTGCCTGATCTTTTTACAGCTTAACACCATCACAATCACAAGATGAATTCACAACCAACACAAGTAATTGTGGTTGTTGAGATGAATGGTGACAAAATTCCTTTAATGAGTTACCAAATTAGGTTGTGGTTGACCCACTTTGATCTCTTTTGTTTGTCAGCTGGTGACCATGACTAATATTTGCTGAAATTATTAACTTTTTGCTAGAATCGAAACAGGATTTAGCTTTGTTCCTCAAAAACACAACAATACAAATTTTATTGAAACAAATTAAGAAAGAATTGAAGTTGCCAACAAAGGAAAAGCTTTAAGCTTAGAAGCGAGGAGGCTTGTAGGCAATGAAACTGATGCACTGGACTTGACGTTTGTTGTCGAATCCGATGATTCGGATGAATGCATTCGGATAAGCCTTCTTGGCCTCTTCAAGCTCCTTCAACACTTGAGATGAATCTGTGCATCCGAACATAGGGAGCTTCCACATTGTCCAGTACCTGCCATCTTGGTATCCAGGGGATCTGTGGTTCTCACGGTAAACGAATCCGTGCTACAAATGTACATTATTGAACGATATCAACTTAAGAAATCGCTTGACTTGAAAGTTTAAATCATTAAACAAGGATTTAATGTTAAGTTTTAGTCTAACAATTACCTCTAACTCAAATTCCAAGCAAGGAACCCATCCCTGGCGAAGAAGGTAATCAACTTCCTTTGCTAATGATTCAGAAGAGAGAGGTGGGAGATATGAAAGGGTCTCAAACTTCTTCTTTCCAGTTGGAGGCCAAACCTGTAGTACTCAGACAGAATCAATAAACTTCTTCGTATTTCAGGTTAACCATGTTTAGATATAATATAATAATCAAATTGGTTAAGGAACCTGCATGCACTGAACTCTTCCACCATTGCTGGCTACAGAGGTAATGTCATCGTTGAGCTGGCGAGTTGCTGGGAAGGTTGAAAAAGACTTAAGGCCTGTGAATGGTGCAACGGCGCTAGCTTGTGCCGGTGTGGCACGGTTAATGGAGGCAACTGTGGCAGATGAGACTACTGACGATGCCATTGCCTTTTTCTTCCCTTGGCTATTAGACTCAAGTTCAAGTAATCAGTTGAAGAGGCCTTTTAAGTGCTGCCTAGTCTTGTATTTATACACAAATTCTTACCAATTCACCACTTGGATCATCTCAACCCCTCATTGTTCAATCGAATGGCTTAAAATTCATGTAAAATTTCTGGGATTTTTTTTGGTTCATTGGATGATGCTAGGAGTTAGATTACAAGCTGATGGCCACATAACTGTGGAGGAATTTTGATTTCAAGCCTTATCAAGAAGCAGTGCAGAGGATGCGCCACTTGGCAGACAATCACAGTCTTATCTCTTGCAGGGAATGATGACATGAACCTGTGATTGTCACTAGTTTATTCTTTATTGTCAATCGTTTCTTAGCTTCATTTCTGTGTTGTGTTATGGGAATGTGAGCAAGGTCTAGCTAAAATCATACATTGCCACAAACTGTTACTTCCATTGCAGTAAACTGAAACAAAAATTGATCTTTTGATAAACTATTAAAAGCAAGACAACTACAATTTCTGATTTTTTTAGGCATAATCTGGCCAGATAAGGTATAAAAAGGCCAACCATAATGCTCTGCGACGCTGCAATGCCTATGCGGCATCGTGGAGCAACCAGTGTTGTGATGTCATCCGGTTGCGTTTAATATAATTTCTGGTTGCAAAGAAGGTGGTGTTTTCCAACGAAATTTGATCGGGTCAGTACAGATGTCTGCAAAACACAGTATAATTCTTGTGGTGTCATAAACTAATTGAAGAGCCTTGTTCTAGATTATGTATTCTTCTGAAAGAACAGGTGAAATGTAAGATGAATCTTCAATGAAAGAGGTTTTAGAATATGATTTATAGCTCTTTCGCTTTAAAATTACTCCTCTAATACGATCAGAATTATAAGTAAACATCTTTCATAAACCATGAGCAAATTAATACAAATGAGTCCTGGTTTCAATCTCAATCTCATCCAAAGATTGCTCCCAGTTTCTGGCTCTGTATGATGTTTCAAGAGAGAAATATGATCAATTGCTTTTGTCATTCTGTTTTCCTTCTTACTTCCTCCAACAAATATGGAAAACTTTTTTGCAATAGAGTCCAAATTCTAGATGACTTCTGCAATTTTTTATCCCTTTCTTTGTCTTTTCAACGTACTTAAGTTTTAACATAAAGGATTTGTTTCAGTTCTTTGACATTAAATATTCCATCATTCTGTGACATATACTGAATTTAGCAGTGCAAGTTCTGCAATTTTCTCGGCAGAAAAGCTGGAAAGAAAGAGAGAAAATAAATAACTATAGAAAAATGGATATGATGATGAAAGGACATGATCTCATTAGTTTACTCTTTTATGTACAAATGGCCCTTTCATCTTTCACAATACAAACAACTGCCACAGATCTGGCAAAAACAAACACAGACAGCCAAGTTTCTAAATTTAGACTCCTGGAGGCTTGTAGGCAATGAAACTGATACATTGCACTTGTCTCTTGTTATCGAATCCGATAATTCGGATAAATGAATTGGGGTAGGCCTTCTTGGCCTCCTCCAACTCCTTCAACACTTGTGATGAATCAGTGCATCCAAACATGGGCAGCTTCCACATTGTCCAGTATCGCCCATCGTAGAATCCTGGCGATCTGTGGTTCTCACGGTACACGAATCCATGCTACATAAACACAATCAAATGATCAAAAAATTTAGCTCAAACTATATATCATAAACATCTTTTATATAGTTAAATAATCAAAAGGGGAGATGCAGAAAGAAAAAATAAATATATAATCACCAGCAACTCAAATTCCAAACAAGGAACCCATCCCATGCGAAGAAGATAATCAACTTCCTTTGCCAGTGACTCCGGAGATAGAGGTGGGAGATATGAGAGTGTCTCAAACTTCTTCTTTCCAATTGGTGGCCACACCTACATTTACACAAACCAATGTTAAAATTCATAAATAAATAAATAGAAACGATTTACAGGATTCTCTCCTGATCTGAGCTTTTACTTGAATTTAACATACCTGCATGCATTGGACTTTGCCACCATTGCTAGGGAGGGAAGTAATGCCATTGTTGAGCTTGCGGGTGACTGGGAAAGCTGAGGAAGGTTTAAGGCCAGTGAATGGTGCAACCATGGAAGCCTGAGCTGGTCTAGCACGGTTCATGAAGGCAATGGTTGCTGATGGCACTATGGAGGAAGCCATTGTTGTTTCCTCTTTCTTGTTAACTTCTTGTGATTTGTTGCACTACTCAAAAGCTAAGCCAAGCTCAGTATTTATAGCTAAATTATTGGGTTGTATGTTGCACCTGAAACACTAGTTTCTGTTGATGATCAAGAGCCTCGTTCTTGTGCCACGTGGTGATCAAACTTCGGTTGGTTTTTATCCCAGCGCAGATCAAATCTAGATCACAAATTTGTTCACGGGGTCCATGGATTGTTCCAGAGGACTCCACCATATCTTCTCTAATTGTTTGTGTGTGTAAAATTTTCTTTCTTCAAAATTGTGATTATGGACAACACAAATGGACAAACCAGTAGCTGAGAGAGAAGGGTTTTGTGATTCAAATTTCTTAACCCCATTATCACATTCACATCGCCACTGTCCATTTCTCCACTTCCTTTTCACTGTGATTTTGAAAATCGTTCATCTTCCATCATCTCAGTCTTGTCATTAGCGACCCCCCGACCCCAGTAAAAACGACTTTGCTTTCATTTCCCGTTTCTTTATAGAACTTGTCACTCGTATTTCTCCAAATTGTACTCCGTCCCGCACAAAATTTTGAAGCTACCTTGAGCAGGGGTGAGCATGGTAAAGGGTAGAACTGGAATCGGCCCTATTAGAGTTCAGTTCCGATTCTGGAAAATTGAAACCAAGAATTCTGGGGTTCGGTTTCAGTTCCTATAGTGCTGAAACTGAGAACTGGAATCGATTTCAGATACTCGGGTAGGAATTAGGACTTAATTATAATTTTTGTAAACTATTGAGGGTGTCTTTGTAATTTTTTGGGGTGTATTTGTCATTTTTAAAAAAGTTGGGGTATTTAAAATAACCTAAATACCTAGAACCGAAACTGGAAGCTATGTTTTAGGTTTTGGTTCTAGGTTTCTAGGAACTGGAACTGGCCGGTTTCAGTTTCGGTTTCGGTTCCTAATCTTAGGAATCGGTCGGCTCTGGTTCCAAATCTTAGGAAACGGTTGGCTCTGGTTCCTTCAAAAAATACAAGGTATCCGAAACCAATAACCCCTACTTGTCATATAAATGATACATTATACATAGTACATACTATTGCTCTTCTTGTCGGTGAAGAATTATTCATCCATTATGTGTACTTTAATTTAATTGTTTATGTGGGTATTGTTACCTATTGCAACATAATCGTTCTCCTTTTTCTAGTGATGGAGTTTTCTATTACCTATATTATTTATACATCAAATCAATCAAATTAATTACGATACATTGATAATCATTTAAAATAAATCAATTAGTTTTTAAAGAAAAGAAAATAATTTGTATATAAATAATGTGATAGAGCCTAATGTTTTTATACCTGGATCGGGCCTTGACCTGGTCAAGGGGTAGATCCCTGGGTTGGGTTGTTCAACTGGTCTGACCAACAAGTCGAACTGATGACGTCAACATGAAACTATAGTAGGAAACTTAATAAACATACCCCTGAGAAATTCCATCAATCCTTACAAGTTTGAAATCCAACAAACACACCCCTATGATCTAGCCAAGAAACCCTAGCTGCCACAAGTGCAGTCCACCACAAATCAACCCAACAACGAACAAACCACCACTATCCACCACAAATCAGGGGAGCCGTCGTGAAGAGGAGATGAAGGTTGAATGGGCAAAGAGGGACCACACAGTTGGCAATGTAGAGGCAGAGAGATTAAATTCTTATAAAAACTTATGCAATTTGTTTACTAAATTGTCATTGTGATTGTGAGTTGTGACAAAGCCTTATAGCATAATCGGAGATTAAAGTAAAGTAAAACTGTGGCGGACCTCGGATGGGCGAAAGTGAACTAGTGAAGTTGTGTTGTCGCGGTCGAGGAGCATTGAAGGTGAAGAAAGGGACAAACCGTTAGGGATTTATTTTTAGATTTTAGGGATTTCAATTTTTAAATTTTGTTTTGTTTGTTTGGTTTGGTTTACTGTTACTAACTCGGTTTAGTTTATCTCGACGGTTGAACCATGGTTTAGTACTGTTCACATTGGGTCAATCTAATCCAAAGGTAAAACCGAGTTAAATTATGTGATCAAATTGGATTGGAATCCAGCTATTGGTCGAATTGATTGGTCTAGTCTGGGTTTTAAAACAAAGATAGATACATTACCTATGATAACATAGAGTCTATATATTATAATACTAGCCCTATAATGTTGTTGAGAAAGCACTATTAATTGCCCTATAACATATCAAAGTGAGAAAGTTTATAAATAAAATAATGCTAGTTGTATTCAAGTAATTGAAAAAGGTTTTTACACATTTATATTTGCAAAAAGGCATGCTAAACTCGAAGTCAATTCAATAAAAACGTGTTTTAATTCAAATTAATTTATAAACATCACATTGGTATATCTGCTTTATTTTTATGATTGATGGAATATATATATACATTATCAAATATATGTGTAAATCAATATCTTAATGAAGTGATGGGGGCATGGATTATGGATTTACAAGGCCATTTTGAAGGACTAAATTTTATTGGATCTCCCACAAGTTGTCTCTAACTCTCTATAAATTGATGAAGAAACATAGTAATCATGGTTATGTTTAGGGGTGAGCGGTTTTGGATACCTTGTATTTTTCAGGGGAACCGGATCCGCACAGTGCAGGTTCTTAAATTCAAGGAATCAGAACCTAAAATGCAGGTTCCGGTTCCTTTCCGGGGTATCCTATAAAAAAATCAATTACCCCCTATTAGTTTAAAAAATGACAAAAATACCTTAAAAGTTTATAAATACATACCTAACAAATTTTGATTACTTATTCATTTGTGTCCGATGTGACTCATAAATCCTCTAATCTCTAGGCAACACTTGAATTCAATTGATTCATCACAATTCACATAAAATTCCTCAATCAAAACCAAAATACAAACAATTAATTAAGTTAAACAATCATACTATAAATTTATAGTTTAATATTATAATTAATTAAATTTCTAATCATTTAATTAAGTATTGTACTAATGTTTATAATGCAATATTATAATTAATTAAGTAATCATACTATAAATCCATAATGTAATGTTATAATTAATTAAATTTTTAATCATTTAATTAAATAATGTACTAATGTAGTAAACTATTAATGTTTATAATATAATGTTATAAATTTATAATTAATTAAATAATTATTTAACTATATAATATTATAATTAATTAGGTGATTATAATATAATGTAATGTTATTATTAATTAAGTAATTATTTAGTTATAATGTAATGTTTTAATTAATTAAATTTCTAATCATTTAATTAAGTATTGTATTAATGTTTATAATTGAATGTTATAATTAATTAAGTAATCATACTATAAATTTATAATGTAAGGTATTGTGCTAATGTAATAAATTACTAATGTTTATAATATAATATCATAATTAATTAAGTAATCATTTCATTATATAATATTATAATTAATTATGTGATCATACTACAATGTAATGTTATAATGAATTAAGTAATCATATTATAAATCTTTAATATAATATTATAATTAATTAAATTTCTAACATTTAATTAAGTATTGTACTAATGTTTATAATTAAATGTTATAATTAATTAACTAATCATTTAATTAAGTAATCATACTATAAATTTATAATGCAATATTATAATTAATTAAATTTTTAATAATTTAATTAAGTATTGCACTAATATAGTAAATTACTAATATTTATAATATAATGTCATAATTAGTTAAGTAATCATTTCATTATGTAATGTTATAATTAATTATGTGATCATACTATAATATAATGTTATAATGAATTAAGTAATCATACTATAAATCTTGAATATAATATTATAATTAATTAAATTTTTAATCATTTAATTAAGTATTGTACTAATGTTTATAATGGAATGTTATAATTAATTAAATAATCATTTAACTATAAAGTAATGTTATAATTGATTAAGTAATCATTCAATTAGTAATGTATTAATGTTTATCAATTTATTTTATATAATTAATTTATTACTAATTTATTACAGATATACTTAGAACTTAATAATTGAAGTAAATAACTAAATATTACTCTCTCCGTTTCCTTTTAATTGTCGTTTTAAGACTTTCTAAAATTTTCAAAATAAAAGTCGTTCTGCCTTTGTCTTGTCTACACCTTTCATCATGCCTTCTCCACTTTTTATCATCCCTCTCTCTTTCCATTCCATCTTGTCATTTCTTTACTTTTTGCCTCTATCCTCTTTAATTTTTATCTTTATCTTATCTTTTCCCCTTTTCTCATCTCTTCTTTATTTTCCATCGCCACCTCTTCTTTCTCTAATCTGTCTCTGCTTCCATCTTTTCTCTTTTTTTCTTGTCTTCCTTCTATATGTTCCTCTCTCCACTTATTTGAAGCACCCTATCGTCTTCAATCTCCACCTTCACTTCCTCTTTCTTGAGCCCTAGAAGATCAGCCTTGAACTCGTGAGCTTTTGGGGTTTCCTTCCGGTCCACACGGGTGTTAACAAAAGCTGAACTTTCTTAAGGGAGTTGAGAGGACAGTGACGATACAGATGATGGGAAGAGAAAGTCCTTGAATAAATTACAGCCATGGTGGCTAACCGAACAGAATCAAAGAGAACAGAAACGAGTGAGGGACGAAAAAAATTAAAGAACTGGAGCAGCTTAAAAGAAAAGAAATAGATGAAGTTGGTGAGAGAAACAAATGAATAAGACAAAATTGTTAAAAATGTTATTTAAATAGGCGGGAATGTTTCCCACTTTCAAAGTCTCTCCCACCTGTAAAATCAGGGAAAAAAATGGTGGGAGAGAGAATTTTTCTTTTTTATTAAAACTTATGCCCACACCTAAAACGTCAATTAAAAGAAAACGGAGGGAGTATATTATTATTCAATCAAATATACTATTCTATTAAAAAATAATTCTTTTAATAATATTAAAATACTTTTAATTCTAATTATACACTTAATTAATCAAAACTTTAATATTAATATATTATAATATATTAAAGTTTTTTATATAGTGTAGTTTATATGTAATAAATATAATTGTATATT